GCTTTACCAGGCTATCAGCTCCTTGAAGGAAGGAAATGTTCTTACTTAATATTGAATACTCAGGGGCTGGTGAAGTGGCTCAAGTGGTAAGAGTGCCTGCCTAGCAAGTATGAAGCCCTGAGTTCAAACCCCAATGCTGCCAAAAAAAAAAAAAAAAATATATATATATATATATATATATATATGGATAACATTGAATACTCAGGCCAGCACACAACTTGACACAGAGTAGGTATAAGATAAATATATTTGATAAGTGGAAAAGCGAATGAATGAGAAATTGGTATGTTATGTGAATGCTGTATCACACACGTACACACACACACAACAGACACAGGAATAATTATGATATGACTTAGTATATACATATTTAAAAATATGGAAAAAAGCTGGGAGGGATAATTGAGTTACATTATATGTACATATGCATATCATAGTATTTAAAATGTACACTTTGATTAGTTTTGGTATTTGTGTACCCTAGTAAGACCATTTCCGTCACTTCTAAAAGTTTCCTCTTGTCCCCAGGCAATTCACACTGTAGTAGAAGCAGAATCCATACACTGCTTTGTTCCTTTTGCATTGCTGGGCATTGAACCCAGTGTCTTGCCTTTCTTCTTTCCTCTTAATGGTGCAAAGTATAGGATCTGTGGTAGATTAAAAATGCTGCAAGTTCTTTGCTGCTTTTATCATTGGGAGGTGGGTCAATTTCTTTCCTCTCGAATCTGATGTATGGTGACTTGACTCCCAATTCATGCTGGGGTCAGTGGAGGAGGCAGAGAGACAGAGAGAGGCTCAGAGGCCATGCGAAGATGTAGAGAGTGTGGCAAATCCCCAGCTGTCCAGCCTGTAGCCACTGGAGTCATTCCAGCTGTGACTGTGGACATTGTGGGAGGAGACAGGTCTTTCCCAAGGTGCCCTATGGAGATTCCTGTTGCACAAAATCATGAATGATCATAGTAAATAATGGTCATTTTAGGACATGATTTTTTGTCTTCATCTTTTAACATATAATAGGAACAAAACCAGTCACCAATTGATAAAAATTGTGTCAATTTTTCTCCATTACAAACCATCTTGTATGTATGCTTGTTTTTTTTTAACATGTGCAAGAATTTCTCTAGGATAAATTCTCAGCTGGATCAAAGGACTTTCCCCTTTTTCCCACTTTCCCAGTCTGTTTCTCTAGCTTGTGTTTTGGTAGATATTGGTAAATCTCCCTCTTGAAAGAGTGTATCATCAGCACCCACCAAAAAAAGTGAAGTTTCCCCTGCACCCTTCCAAAAGTCTTCCACAATTCACTTCATCTCCTGCATTTCATTTGCTTGTCTCTAAATGGAAGATAATAACCTTGACCCTGCCTACTCACAGGGCTCTGATGGAGCCATTTAAAGTGGCCTGAGGGGCATTGGCTCAAGTGGTAGAGCCCTTGCCTAGAAAGGCAAGGCAAGCTTCTAGGTTGAATCTGATTCAGTCCTGTTTCTCCTCCTCCTCCCCCAAATGAGATGAAGACCCTTTTGTTATTGTTTTTCTTTTTCTTCTTTGTTTTTTTTTGATATGGGGACTTTAATAATTTTGTCATTTTCTTTCTTTTTCAGTACTCGGCTTGAATGCAGGCCTTTGCACATGCTAGGCAGGTGCTCTGCCATTTTAGTCATGCCCCTAGCTCCCCCACCTTTTCCTGCCTTTTTTTTTTTTTTTTTTTGGTGAGACTAGGTTTTGAACTCGGCTTCATGCTTGCAAAGCATGTGTGGAGAGAGTCCCCATTTTCTCTCTCTCATACACATACACACAAGATGAATACTTTGTATTTATACAACGCAATGAGTGTTATGTCAGTTTGGATACTTTTATGGGACCGACTTCCAATACTTAAGTAAACATACTGTAAGATTTGTAGGAAATTAAAACTTGTGTAGTGCTTCAAGGGATAAGCGAACACCTGAAACGGGAAGAAATTTGACTTGTGATACAGAGTATAGAAGTGGATCCATTACAGGAAATTTGTAATTTTTGAGGGTGGGAGGACTAGACAATGTTTTTTCATTCAGAAAAGGGCTGGAAGTGTGGCTCAGCAGGGAGCATTTGCCTAGCACGCTAGAGGCCCTGGATTCCGTCCCAAGCACACATATACACACAAGTCCAGAGAAGAGACTAGAAACTGAAACAGAAGGATTCAGTGTGTTGTATACCAGACTTTCCACTACATTCTGATCAACACTGTATTGTTTAATGTGAATACCTCTATGCTAGTGCTCTACAAAATAAAGACACCTGTAAAACTTGCTGTTACTCTGTTTCATTGTCTCCCCCCTCCTCCTCTACAGAGCCAGCTGGTGACTTCTGGCTCCTCCAGGCCCTGCTGCCCTCTGCTGGTTCCCTCAGTTCCTCAGGTCAATGACAGACCAGGCGTTGTGCTATGCATCTGTCTTCCTGTCTTCTCAACTGACCTCACAGGAGCTGATTAAACCTCCATCCAGCCCATCCAGCCTTGGCCAAAATCTTTTCCTGAGTTTGGGAGTTTAAATGTCCCCCCAAAAGGCTGTTTGGAAGGCTTCTTTCCCATAGAGGCAGTATTTGGAGGTGTTATGTTTGGATCTCACATGTGATCCAAAGGCCATGTGCTGAAGGCCTGTGGTACTATTGGGAGGTACCACCACACCTGTCTAACATACTTCTTTTTTCTTTTGTGGTACTGGGGTTTGAATTCAGGGCCTCACACTTGCTAGGCAGGCGCTCTACCACTTGAGCCACTCCACCAGCCCTAACATACTTAAGTGCAAAAGTCATTAAAAAAGAAGAAAATTGTAAATAATCTTAACCATCTGTTGATGCTTTGGGAGTGTTTCCTTTGATCAGTAGGACAATATTTCATTTGTCTTAATTATATCACAACCATTTTTTCTCCAAACAGATCGATGTTTTCTGTAACATGAGATTTTTAACTTTTCATTTTGAGGTAATTTTACTTATTTTTGGTGGTACTGGGGCTTGATAGGCAGGTGCTCTACTACTTGAGACACTCCTCCTACCCTTCAAGATAATTTTAGACTTCAGAAAAGTTGTAAAAGTACTTAAAAGTTACCTAAAGTATACACCTTATTTTGTTTTATACTTTTATGCTATATTTTCACCACAATGTTATTTTTCTAACCCAGAATCCAATCCAGGGTTTCACATTGTATTGGGATGTTATATCTCCCTTGTCTCTCCAAAATGGAACAGTTCTTCAGTCCTTTCTTGTTTTTTATTACCTTGATGACTTTGAAGAAAACTTGTCAGTGTTTTTGTACTACGGATGTCCTTCCGTTTGAGTTTAGTTGATGTTTTCTCATGACTAGAATGAGGTTTGCATTTTTGGTAAGAACACTAGGTGTATCATGCTGTCAATCCATCATGTCAGGATCCAAACTATGGAATTAGCCTAAGTGTCCATCAACTGATGAATAGATAAAAAAATTACACAATACAGTATTATTCAGCCATAAAGAAGAATGAAATTATGTCCTTTGCAGGAAAATAGGTGGAACTGGAAAGCATCATGTTAAGTGAAATAGGCCAGATTGAGAAAAACAAGTATTGCTTGCTTTCTCTCAAGTGCAGAATCTAGACCTAAACAAAAAATGAACCACACAAATGTAAAACAGGGAGGATTATTTGGGGGTGGGAGCCAACAGGAGGGAAAGGTGAGAAGAAAAGAGTGAAGGAGGGGTGAATATGGTTGATGTATTTTGTACCCATGTATGCAGATAAAATAATGAGTTGCGTTAGAAATTGTTCAATAAAGGGGAGTATGAAAGAACAATAGAGGGGGTGAATTTGATCAAAGTACATTATATGCACATATGGGAAATACAACAATGAAATCCTTTGTATAATTAATATACACTTAACAAAAAAATTTTGTGGGGAGATTATTTGGGCCTATGAAAATTTGTCTCTCCTTGAACTTTCACCCACTCATTTTAGTACCCATCTTTCCATCTTGCCCACTACAATTATTAACTGTGGTTTCCTAATGATTTTCTGTTTCCCTAATTTTTTCTACATTTATTGTTTGGAATTCTTCTGTAAGGTATAAGGTTGTCCCTTCTCTCTTTATTCTATTATTCATTTATGTCAGCATGGACTCAAGGGTATTTATTATATTGGTTGTGATCAAATACTACCATTTGGTTTCTCAGACCTATAATATGATTTAAATGGCAGAATAACATTTAATTACATGTCTGTACCACGAATTATGGATCCAGTTCCTCGATGTTGAATTATTAGGTTGTTTCCAGTTATCCAATACTATTAATGGTGTCTGATACCTTAATTTTTGGGGTGCTTCTATAAATTTTCGAACAGGGAAATTACTGGATGTTGGGGATTATTTTTTTCTTTTCAGTACTGGGGTTTGAACTCGGAGCCTACACCTTGAGCCACTCCACCAGCCCTTTTTTGTGTTAGGTATTTTCGAGATAGGGTCTCGCAGAATTAATTGCCCGGGGCTGGCTTCGAACCGCGATCCTCTTGATGTTTGCCTCCTGAGTAGCTAGGATTACAGACGTGAGCCACCAGCGCCAGGCAGTTGAAAAGTATTTGCTCTCGGTTTTGATCTAAGCGGCGGAAACTCAACGTGGAGCTCACACACTGCACCCCGACTGGCGGGCTGTGAGTAGAGGCAGTAGATCAGGAAGTTCAAGCAGGCGCCTGCCGGCTGGGTGAGCTAGCTCCGTTGTCAACAATCTGAACCACACGTAACAATAAAGTTGTTGTTGAGGAAGAGACTTCCGGTAGGGGCATTCCTATTTCCGTCAGCGCGGGTCTCGGTCACCTTCTTCTACATTTCAACCGGAAATACTTGTTCTCTATGAAAAGCCACGTCTGTCCTGGCCTCTGTCCCGCCCCCGCACTGGAAGAGCTTCCGGGGTCAGGGCATTCCGGCCCGCCCCGGCGACGCTGGAAGCTCTGGTTCTCCCGGAACTGGCCCCAATCTCTCTGTTTGGGTCCGTTCTGCCCGGCTGCTGCTGAGGGCTGCGGGGAGGCGGTGGCGATGGCGGAGGCGGCGTTGCTGCTGCCGGAGGCGGCGGCTGAGCGGGACGCTCGGGAAAAGCTGGCTCTTTGGGATGGGAGACCCGACACCATTGCGCCGCTGACGGACAGGCAGACTGAGTCTGTGCTAGAGCTGAAGGCGGCGGCGGAAAACCTGCCGGTGCCGACCGAGGTGAGGTGATGGGCGAGCGGGCTGCGGAGAGGGGTCCGGGAGCGACCTCGGCCTTGCAGTCCTCCGCACAAGGTCTCGGTCACTCCTCCCGGGCCACGGTGGCAGATCCGGTGGGAGGGGCTCGCATGGCCCCTGCTGTCAGCCTCGCTCTGCCGGCGGCGGGACTCTGCTACTGCCCGGCGAGGCACTCAGCCCTCCACCAGCGGCGTGGGACGTTTGGCCTGGAGCCGCCTTGGGGCCTCTTGCACCGGGTAATGCTCGGGTCAGCCGAGGCGTAGTCCTGCTGCCCACCATCTGCCAGGAGGGGCACCTAACCCGAGGTGCTCTGCTGCAGGGCACGGTCCGGTTGGTGCCCCTTTGCCACCTTCAGGGACAGTCTAGCTTCCTTTTTCCCTGAGAGGACGCGGGGAGACCACACCTTGGTCCTGCGTGACAGTTTCATTCATCACACATTCAGCATGGACTCTCCATGATCAAGTGTAGGTTATAGGAGATAGGATTTATTTTACCCATAACAAAACAGTAACAATGAGTTAGTACATTATTAAATAATGCTAGTTCTCCGTTTTAGTGTCCACGTTTTTAGCTACCTACCATTGGGATATTGTGCATGATAATGCTGTGTGATTCAGTTCAATTAGTTATAGCAAAAAGTACGTTTTATGAGTTGTCAGATGTTTAACAGACTTTTTTCTAGTTTTAAGGACCAGGTTTAGGAGGATTATTTTCTAAACAATGATCGTTACTTTTGATGTTGGAAATAATTCTTTTTATACGATTTGGAATTTATGTGTAAATGCAGATTGAGTTTAGAATCTTCACCTTTGTCAAACTTCAGAGGTTTGATTTCAAAGTTTTCTTCAGGTTTCCTGTTGCCATTAAAATAGGTGTTGTTGGGCTGGCCCAGTGGCTCAAGTGGTAGAGTGTTGCCTAGCAAGTGTGTGGGAGTTCAAAGCCCAAGTATTGCAAAAATAAATAAATAAATAAAATATGTTTAAAAATAGGTGTTCTACATCTTGGGGTTTCTCTGTCCACTTCCAGGATGTTGTGCAGAAGTGGATATGAAGTAAATGAGGAAGCAAGTGAAAGTTTCTTTGAGGAGGCTATCAAGGTCTTTTTTTTTTTTTAATGGTGCTGAGGAGCCATCCCAGGGCCAGGTGCACATTAGGCAAACACCCTACCACTGAGCTACATCCCAGCCTAGAATTTTGCTCTATACTTTTTCCAGTTTGCTTATAATTGAGTTGGCCTATTACTGAGGCAGGGTGTCTGGACTTTTACAGCACCAGGGGAGGTGGGCATGTTCTATAAGAAAATTTGTTTTTATTGTTCTTGGTTATAAACTGCGTAAGTTATTATTCTCATTGAGCATAGACACAGTTTGGAGTGAAGTAAATGGAATTTTGTCACTTTCACCCCATTATGCATGAAAATTACATGTATGCAGTCATTTAACACATATTTCATGCCTACTTTGAGCTAGGAATTAGGGATAGAAGGATAGATGGGAAAGAAGAGATCCTTAGCTTCACTGAGCTGACATAGTTGAGAGGATCATGAGCACGTAATGAAAAGAATGAGGAGGTAAGTTCACACAGGAGCCACGATGCAACAAAAATAAAATAGGATGATGTGACTGAAAGGGATGAAGTGTGCCTTTTCAGGGGAGGCCTAAAAGGCGAGGGGAGGCCTTTCTAAGAAATTGACAGTTTAAGGTGAGAACTGATGATGGAGAAGAAGCCAATCTTTGAAAGGCTAAACAAATAACATTCTAGCTGGAGGAAAAAGCATTGCAAGGTCATGTGTGGGAACATGCTTTAACAAGTTCAAATCTTCAGTGAGGGGCTTCTAGTACATGTTGCCCTGGTATTGGATTCCTGTGAGAAGGAAATAGCTGTTATTTACTGACCCTGGAATCTTTGAGGAAATCATTTTCATTGCTTTTTAGCTATCTGTGCCCTTATTTCCTTTTAGTAAAGTATTGTATGTCTGATGGGAATATTTTGGAATTTTCTATCCTTGATACCACTCTTAACATTGATATCGAAAAAAGAATACCTCAATTTTCATTTGGTCCAACCAGAATATTTCCAAAGACATTCTGTAGTGTTTCACAGTTTTCATGAGATAAATTACTTCATGAACAGTTGGAACTGGGCAGGTTAGAAGAACAGCAGGAGGGCAGCTATAACTCTCAGTAAATATCATAAAGCTATTAACTCTCCATAGAAGATAGCTTTCTCACTTGTAAAGAACTAGTTCTTATCTTGAAAAGTTTTCCTGTTTTTTTTTTTTTTTTGAAGGAGTTATACTTTCTCTTGCATTAAATAAAAGAATGTGCAGGAGACTGGTTTCTTGTATTCAGAGCAATTTCTTTCTCAGCAGCAAGGACCCTCAGGGCTTCACGCTTGATGTGTAGACAGTCTACCACTTGACACGTGCCTCCAGTCCCCCCTTCTTCCTTTTCAAGTTCTTCATTCTACCCTCAAATTCCATAGAAAGATTTCTCAATTACAAACATTGGTTTTGCCTCAGAGAAGAATTGGAAGGGGATGGAAACTTACTTTTCACTTAAATATTCTATACTCTTGGACTTTCAAAATAATGAACCCAATTATAGCTTAATGATAAAGAATTATAAATTTAAAGAGTAAGTTATATTTTTCCTTATTCTCTATTGAAGAGACAGTTGAAAATGCTGCATCCTAAAATGAAAAAATCAAGGTGTGTATAGTCTACAGTTATTTAAGTTAAAAAAGTATACTTTTTTTTTTTGTAAAGGAAAGTTACATAAGAAACTAGTGGTAATACTAGCCTGTCTCTGAAGGTGGAACTGGATAGCTGGGACCCATTTTTCCAGGGGATGGAGACTTTTTACTGAATACCCTTTGAATTTTGTGCTATAAGAATTTACTACCTATCAAATAAATACATTTAAAAGGACTACTCAATATGTATAATATGGTCAGCATTGTCCTATAGTTGAAGGTCCTATAGGTCTTATTTATTTTGACATCTTTTTACAAATGCATTGTATTAGGGTGTGACTATTCTGAAATATGCTCTTATTTAAAGTTTTGAAATTTTTATTGTTAAATGAAACATTTTGGTGGTTGTAACAATTATTTGTGTAGATACGAATATAGTATTTTATTTAAGAAAATAAGCTTTACATTTTTTTGTGTAGTAAAAAAATAAAAAGGATTGATCTGTTATATTACAGATAATTCTGGAACAAGAACAGCTTTATTTTTTATCTGGAATTTGTTATTTATTATGAGGTAGCACCAGAGTCGTATAGCATAAGTCCTTATTAACTCTTATAGAATATGATTATTGTATCATTTTTTTAAATTGAAAAAAGTAGAAACAATTGTAGATTGATATGAGTTGTAAAAACATTATAAAGAGATTACTCAACTTTCCTCAGTAACATTTTACAGAATTATAGTATCTGGTATCACAACTGAGATTTTGATTTGTAACATAGATTGTATCCCTTTTTAAAGGCGATTTAGAATATTTCTTCTCAAAAGAGATTGGATTAAAGATGGATATGGTTCTAGGTAGTATTGGATGAAGTTTGCTAGGTCCTCTGTGCCTTCAGAATTTTTATTGATTATCCCAGGTTTGTGATATACTACTTTAATTAGTCATAGTGCCACCTCATGTACAGTATTAGAACCTTACAATAGTATTCGTCCCATTTTTCCTTTTCCTCTCTTGTGCTGCTGTTGTCAGGCATTTTACTTTTACATGTATCATAACACATAGTATATTGCTCTTACTTCTGACATTTCTTTTTGACTGATTAAAAAACTGTCATTTATTTTCATTTTAACCATTCCCAGAGCTGCTCTCCTCCTCCCTCCTCCTCCCTCCTCCTCCCCCTCCTCCTCCCCCTCCTCCTCCCCCTCCTTCTCCTCTCCCTCCTTCTCCTCCCCCTCTTCCCTCCTCCTCCTCTTCCTCCTCCTCCTCCTTCTCTTTCTTCTTCTTTTCTTTCTTTTTTTTTTTTTTTTTAAAAGATCCAGGTTTTAATCTGTGGTATACTGCTATCTGCCTGAAGAACTTCCTTCAACATTTCTTATTTCTTATGGTATAGGTCTGCTGTAATAAACTTTCTCAGCTTTTGCTTACTTAACCTTCTCTTATTTCTCCGTTTTTTTCTTTAAAAAAAAAAGATATTCTTATTAGGTAGAGAATTTTGGGTTGACTTTTTTTTTGACACTTGAAAGATGTCACTGTTGTCTTCTAGCTTGCATAATTTCTGATGAGTAGTCTGCTGTTCCTTTTTTTTTGTGTGTGTGTTTCTGGAGTTTGAACTCAGGGCCTTAGGCTTGCTAGGCAGGCACTCTACCACTTAAGCCATGCCCATGCCCCAGTCCTGTCTGTTGTTCTAAGTTTTGTACCTCTTTTCTTTTTTTTTTGCAATACTGGGGTTTGAACTCAGGGCCATCACCTTGAGCTACTTTACCAGTCCCTTTTTGTGACAGGTTTTTTTGAGATAGGGTCTCACAAACTGTTTGTCCTGGCTGGCTTTGAACCATGATCCTCCTGATCTTTTGCTCCTGAGTAGCTAGAATTACAGGCAGGAGCCACCAGTGCCTGGCTTTCTGTGTATAATGTTTCTTTTTCTCTGGCTGCCTTCAAAATTTTAATCTTCGGTTTTCAGGAGTTTAAGTATATTGTGTCTAGAAGGGTATGCATGTGTATATGTGCTTATACCTGGGGTTTTGTGAGCTTCTTACAAGTGTAGTTTACTGTCTTTTCATTATTTTTAGAAAATTCTCAACTATAATCTCTTCAAATACTTCCTCTACTCTGTTCTTTCTGTTTCTTTTGTCTCTGTCTATCTCTCTGCCTTTTGGAATTCTACTTACACATATCAGATTATTCAGTACCACTACATAGTTCTTGGATGATATATGCTGTATTTTGTTTTCTGTTTATGTTTCATTTTGAATGATTCTCATTGACCTAATTTCAAGTTTACAGATTCTTTCTTTGACTTTGTTGAGTATACTGATGAACCCATTGCAAGTGTTTTCTTCTGTGTTATCATGGTTTTTATTTCTAGCTTTTCCACTTCATACTTAATGGTTTTCATTTTTCTGCTGAAATTCTATAGCTGTTCATGCATGCATCTTGTCTGTATGTTACACTAGCGCCTTTAACATAGTAATCCCAGTTACTTTAAATTTATTGTCTGATAGTTCCAGTATCCTGGACATCTGAACCTGCTCTGTTGGTTGCTTAGTCTTTTGACAGTAAATTGGGGGGTGTGTGTGTGTGTGTGTGTGTGTGTGTGTGTGTGTTTCTTATAGTTTTAAATTAAATACTGGATATTGAGTGCAGGACAGTTGAGAAGGATGGCCTAGTATTTATTAATGAATAGCAAGGCATACTTTTGTTAGGTTGTTTTGTGGGAGGTTGAGTCATTTTAGTTAGGAATTGAGCTGGCGTTAGGTTTCGTTATTGCTGGGGTTATTTTTGTTTACAGCTGGCTTCAAGTTTCTATGCATAACTTCTTGCTTAGGGTGGGAAATAGATTGTTGCAGGGTTTTAATAGTCGTTCTCTATGCTCAGCTTTTGGTATGCTGTGTTCCTGGGTCTCAGGGTATCTCTTTGTCTTTGTTGCCTCCCTCATGGTAGCTTGCTGGTGCTTTATAGCTTGGTAGTAGTAGGTAGGTGTTTTCTGTCATCTAGGTCCAGTCTTAGTCTTAGGCAGGCCCCCTGTCCCTGGGTTTTGGATGTGGGACTTTCTCACTGATTTTTATTCCTTCAGTAGTTGTAGGTGACTTCAAGTATTGTGTGTCTGATGGTTTCTTGTCCATTACCATCCCTTTCCCAACCAAAGTGGGTCTTCTGAGCACTAGGGTTGATAATTTGCTGCCCCTTTTATCAGTGGTGTAAGACTTTTGTTCCAGTGGGAAGAAGAATCCAGTTAGGGCTTTGTGTTGGCCTTTCCTATGCAGTGCAGCCATTCTCCTCTTCCTGGCCTACACCACCTTGTTCACATTTCCACTCCTGAGCATCCAGTGGAGGTCTGTGGAGGAGACCATGTAACTGGGTGTGACCTCCCCCTGGCTTCCAGGTGCTTCCAACTCACCCTTTAGACCTAAGTGACACATGAAAAAATTTAGTTGAATTCTGCTACCTGCTTGCATGGTGCTTGTCATCCGTTTTCTTCCCCAGGGAAGCCTGACTGTCCCAGAGATGCCCATCAGGTTTTAAGCTGCATGGTTATTCTGAAACCTTAGCTCTGACAGGTTGAAGAGTATTTACATTTTGTAGGTTATTTGGCTTTTACTTGTTGTTAGGGTACAACCAACATTCTTTCTAGCTCACTTCAGCCTAGCCTAATCTCCATGTGTTTCTCAAATCTGAGCCTGATGCAGAATCCCCACTCTGCTTTAGATTTTACCTAACAGTGCCAGTAGAATTAGGTGATTGAATTTTGCTGTGACCTGTTCTTGTAGACTAAATTTTACTGCGAATGCAATATTGTAAAGATAGCTTAGCGATTCTTCTGTTCCCAAGAAGCAGTATAGATTCAGATTTACAGCTTTACTTTCTCTTTTGCTGCTAATACATAGGAATAATAAAAATACTATTAATCTGAGCATTTACTCAGTGGCAGGTCTTAGGTGAAGTGCTTTCATGCAGCATTGTCTCTGGTGGGTTATATCTCCTCCCTGCCCTCCAAGGAGACAGCTCCTTATAGGTAATTAGGATAGTTCCACAGAGCAAGTGTGGATCCTTCTTTGCTCAGCACAGCTCCCTCTGTCCTCCAGAACCCCTCCAGCACAGTTGCTGGTGACATTTTAGACTCAAAATGAGTTCTTGTTGGGTTGGTGAAACTTAATTCTTGCTGGGCCATAGTCCTTTTTACTCAGGGATTATGTTACCATTCAGAAAGTCCTAATAAGACATATTTACCTATATACAGGACCCTCCTGGCTCTTGAGTCAGACTCATTTGTGGGAGAAGGTTGATCATGACTGTCCTTACCACTCTCTGTCTGCAGCTTCCTAGCACTCTAAGAAGCCAGTTTTCCCACACTTGTGTTTTCTTCTTTGCTCTTCACAGTATTCTTAAGATACAGATTAAGTAATTTGCCATTGTCACACAGTTTATAAGTGATCAAGAGCAGTTTGCAAGCCAAGCTGCACAATGCCATAAGAATAGCACCATTTGCATCCATATACAAAAAAATCCCACATTAAAGTATTGGCTTTCTGAATTAGTGGTGGTGCATTTTGCATCTAGCTTATTTGAGCTTTGAAGAGAAAATACTGTCTTTAGATGAAGTATCTGCATTTAGAAAAATAGGCAGCAAGCACTTTACTAACTAAGGCTTTTGATCATGTTTTAAATTGGTGGCACTGAAACTGGAATTGAACCTAAACAATAGGTCCCTTGCTTTCCCCAGCATCTGCCTCCCCCCTCCCCCTCTCTTTTAAAAGTAGCTTGTCTGTAGGACTTCAGGTAGATTAATACCTGAACTACTTTTAGTAGTGGAGAACTAGAAAGTAATGGTGTCAGAGTGAGGTCTTGTCCATGGGTCTTCTGAAATGGATAGGAAACTCTGAAATTCTGTTTTGTTGTAATTTCAAAATCTGACATTAAGATAGCGTAGGTCAGGTGTGCCAGTGGATGGAAGTGGTAGGAGGAGATAGAGTTTGCCTGTTAATGCTTGGGTATGATTTGTTAATCCTTTTGGTTGGCTAGGCTCTTGTGTGAGATCCTGGGAGAGCAAGCTACTTTGAACAGCACACATCTTTCCCCTTTGTATGGTGACAATTCACAACAGGTGCAAGTGAGAAAACGTGGATTAGCATAGCTTCACTACCATTGTTAAAAAGCTAACTCAAAAATCATACTTAACTAATTTTTAACATTTTGAGAGTCGCATTTAACACGAGAGGGCCTAGTTAAAAGTGTTAGTACTATATGGCATTTGTTAACCTCATGTGATTAATGGAAATATCCCTGTATCTTTCAAAACAACTCAGATGGAAACCCAATTTTGAGTTAAGTTCAGAGGATTTTCAAATTATTTATGTACCTGTGACATTCTTTTTCAAGCTCCCAGTGGAAGACTTGTGTAGCTTAACATCCCAGTCACTGCCTGTTGAGCCAACTTCAATAGTGCCCGAATCTACAGAAGACATTCTTTTTACTGGCTTCACTTCCTTAGGAATGAAAGAAGAAAGAATCGAGACTGCACAGCAGGTAAATGGCAGTATGTTTCTTAAGGATGTTTTAGCTGTCTCAGGACAGGCTAATAAGTAAGGTTCTAATTAAAAGGTCTGAACATTTGACCCTGTAGTTAGCATCAAATCTGTCTAAAACATTCTTGACTTTGTTATGTCTTAAGTGTTTTAAATGAATATGTGGCTCCATTATATTGTAAATATATCTAAAAATATGATAGTCAAGGTGGATGTTGATTTTTTTTGTGTGTGTAGTACTGGTGTTTTTGAACTCAAGGGCCTTGCTCTTGCTAGGCAAGCACTCTGCCACTTGACCCATGTTCCTAGCTCTTTTTGCTTTTTTAGTTATTTTTCAGGTAGTGTCTCGCTTTTTGCTTAGGGCTGGCCTTAGATTGCAGATCCTCCTACTAGTGGCTTCCAGTATATATGGAATTACAGGCATATAACACTATGCCTGACTTTTTGAGCTAACTTTTCTGCCCAAGCTGGCCTCAAACTGTGATCCTCCCAGTCTCTGCCTCCTAAGTAGCTGGGACACCATGCCCATCAGATTGCTATATTTATTAAGATTTTAAGGTGCTGGTGATTTAGCTCAGTAGCAAGGCCTTGAGTTCAGTCCCCAGCACCAAAAAACCTCTCCAGAACCTCAAAAAACAAAACCAAGGAGGGGAGAGGATAAAGGAGAATGATGGAGGGGGTGAATTCAAGTATGATATATTTGATATATTGGAAGAACATCTGTAAATGCCATGGTGTACCCCCTCCTAGCACAACAATAAGAAAAAAAATTAGCAGAAAGGAATTTTTAAAACCAGTATAATAAATATGTTAAAGGGAAAAAAAACCAACAAGGAAACTATTAAGATTTTAAAATTTTGTGCACTTTTGATTTTCCTTAATGTATGTCTGTTTCAACCTGTGCTGCCAACATGTGAATACGTACACATACATAAACACACATACATGTACTCCTCTGCTTGTTGCTAGGTACTCCTTTTTGAAAAACTTAAATATTCTCTTTAGATGAAGGTTTATAGTTTTTTTTCCAGTAATTTAGCATTTAAATTACAAACCTAAATATGTAGCATTTTCTTTAGTTACTTCCTTGTTTTCTCTTTTTGTCCTGTTAAGAGTTAAGGCTGATTGAAGCAGGAGGATCTTCAGTTTGAGGCCAGCCTAGGTTACATAGTGAGAGTCTGTCTCAAAAAAACAAAACAAAAAAATTAGTGAAAGCAGAGGCTTTTCCCAAGTAATATGTAAAGTGAATGTACTGAATTGCTTGCATAGTAAGTTGAGAGAGGCAGTGATGCAATCCAGTTAAGAGCTCCAGCTCTTGAGTTAGGCTGGCCTGCATCTGAATGTTATCTCCATCACTTACCATGCTGTGAGCTTAGGCAAATTATTTACCTTCTTGGATGTTTAACTTTCCGAATTTGTTTAAAAAAAGAGAAAAGCATGATTTTATACTTATCTCAGGATTTTTATGAGAATTAAATAAGGTAATGCTGTAAATGCAATGTGTGACAGGTACACAGTAAATGCTTAGTAAATGATAACCAGGGTACGTGGCAAGCCTACATACTCTTGACATTGAATTCCATTTGAGAACTGTAGAAGGTCATCTTGCACCATGTCTGTGAATGTCTTTGGACTGTTAGAAAACAAAATCTTCTGGATTAAATTTGCATCTACATATCTCATATAAACAATCTAATACATTGAGTTATAATTTATGTATGATAAGTTTTAAGTGTCAGCTGAATGAGTTTTGACAAGTGTATATACTTGTATAACTACTACTACTATAAAGATATTGTATAGTTTTATCACCCAAAAGTTACTGCATGCTTGTGTTTTGGTTTTGATCACTGGTTTTTTTTTTCGTGGCTCTGGGGTTTGAACTCAGGGTCTCACACTTGCTAGGCAGGCTTTCTTACCACTTGAGGCATTCCATCACCCCTTCTGTTTTGGTTTTGAGAAAGTCTTGCTATATATAGCTCAGGCTGGTCTCAAACTTGAGAGTCCCATGCCTCAGCCTCCTAACTGCTGGGATTATAAATGTGCCCCACCATGCTCAATCCTGCATGTTTCATTTTCCATAACACTGGTGGTAGGACCACATTCAGATTAAGGTTTAGATGATGCCAAAGTCTATGTTCTTAAACCACTATGTAATACTATTTTTGAATTTGTATTCTCTTAGTTCTTTTTTTTGGCAGCACGGGAGTTTGAACTCAGGGCCTCATGCTTGCTAGGCAGGTGCTCTTACTGCTTGAACCACTCTGTTAGCCCTCATAGTTTTTTTTTTTTTTTTTTTTTTTTTGCAGTACTGGGGCTTGAATTCAGGGTCTACTCCTTGAGCCACTCCACCAGTGATGGGTTTTTTCAAGATAGGGTCTCACATACTGCTTCGAACCACTATCCTTCTGATCTCTGCCTCCTTAGTAGCTAGGATTATAGGTGTGAGCCACCAACACCCAGTCATAGTTCTTACTAGATAACATTAATACAGATTTTTACCCCTAACTGTTCAATTTGGCAAACTATTCAGTAGTCATTAGCCTCTTAGGAAGAATATTTATTTTTACATTTTGTGTCTTTAATACTATTCCTTACTTGACTCTAGAAATGGCCGGTGTTTTCAACATCTTTTGCTTTTCCTAGCGTATATTGCATATGTAATAAGGTTTAAAGCTAATTATTAATATCTGAGCCCTAACTAATAAGACTTAGTGTCTACCCTTTCTGTGGTCATTGTTCATTTTATCTTTTTTGTCTGGTTGACAGTATAGCACTCTTTATTTTTCCAGTTTTTCTCGTGGTTTGCAAAGCTGCAAACTCAGATGGATCAGGATGAAGGAACTAAATATAGGTATGTGTAGCTCTTTTATTTGTTGGGTATCCTAATTTTTAGATTACAGTCATCTCAAACATATCATATTCTGTGTCTTTAAACAAATTAAGTTGCAAAGAAGAAGGATTTGGGTCATTATAACTGATACTAGAAGTGTGATTTTTAAAAAACGAATTTCAAAAAGGATTGGAGTCAAGTGGGAGTTTGACAGGAATCCTGAAATATCTGCAAAAGACTAGGGGTGGCACCTAGACGGGGTATAGTTCTGTTTGTGTGTACTGATAAGCTGGGGAAAATGATGGTGTGCAGTTTCTCGCTGTTTTGGGACGTCAGTTCTGTATTCATGCTCAGGTTACTTTATTGATGGCTGTTATCGCTAGGCAGTGCATTAGGCTCTTTAGTATATGATCCTATTTACTCTCCATAGCAGCTCTTCAAGGAAAGATGTTACTCTTCCCAATTTACAAATGAGTGAACTGAGCCTGGAAGTATTAAGTGACTTGCTCACTTGGACCCAGGTCTTCTAACTTGACATCCAGATTTCTTTTCACAACATCACACTGTTTCTCAAAAGTGGCAGGGATTTGAAGGGTCAACCTTACTTGCTTTCTTGGGATGTCTTACTCTCTCTGTCTTTGAAATTTGAGCTGGTGATGTATTGCTTTTCTTGGGAAAAGTACGATTATGGCTGTAAGGCTAATTCCTTTTGTCCCTTATAATATCAGTGATTTTCCTTCTTAAGTATTAAAACAGTATATATGAGGTAACTTTTGCTATATTTCTGAATATAATCAATTTTTGTGAGCATATTCTTTCCTCCTGGAACTCAAGCATTTTGGGGAAAATGAGACTTTGTTTTTTATTGGCTGTGTTTATTGGGGGAAAATATTATTGCCAATCCCCTTTTGGTTCTGTTTTCTAGACAGATGAGGGATTACTTGTCTGGGTTTCAGGAGCAGTGTGATGCTATACTGAATGATGTAAATGATGCCCTGCAACATCTGGAGTCATTGCAGAAACAGTATCTTTTCGTGTCCAATAAGACGGGAACTCTACATGAAGCCTGTGAACAACTCCTGAAAGAACAGGTAATTGGTATACTTTACTATTTATTTTATTATTATTATTATTATTATTATTACGGTACTGGGGCTTGAACTTAGGGCCTATACCTTAAGCCACTCCACCAGACCTTTTTTTGTGATGGATGTTTTTGAGATAGGGTTTCGAGGAACTATTTGCCCAGGCTGGCTTGGAACCATGATCCTCCTGATCTCTGCCTCCTGAGTTGCTAGGATTATAGGTGTGAGCCACCAGCACCTGGCTATTTATATTATTTATTTATTTATTTGGCAGCACTGATACTTGAACTCTTGGCTTCATGCTTGCTAGGCAGGCACTCTGGTGAGCCACTATACCAGCCCAGGTGTTGGGATTAGAAGAGAGTGTCAGTGATTAGCTTGAACATTTTATTTTTAATTAGGTGAATATAATTTAATTTTAGTTTTCTTTCTTTAAATTCATTTATTCATATGTGCATACAGTTGAATACATTTTCTTAATTTCTGAAAATACATGTTGAAAAGGTTTTCTGTAGAATGTGCAGATTCCTGTGAGGTCAGCCTGCTTTTACAAATAAACTTATGTGAATGGGACAAAGGCAAGCCTTTTTTAAATTAAATTTTTTTTATAGTTTATTAGCATATATTAGTTGTACAAAGGGTTTATTGTGATATTTCTGTACATGCATGCAATGTACCTCATCAGAATTCACCCCTCTGTCACTCCTTATCCTCTCTCCCTCCTTCTAAAAACAGTTTCAGCAAGTTTCATTGTTCTGTTTTCATACATGTGTATAAAGTACTTCCACCATATTCATCCTCTTCTTTCACCCTCTCTCCTTCCAATGGTACTTTCCCCCAAACAGGACCTGCTTTATGTTCTTTTAATTCTTTTTTAAGGACCAGACTCTGCATATGAGAGAGAACATAAATTATTTGTCTTTCTCAGTCTGGCTTATTTCATTTAACATGATGACTTCTACTTCTGTCCGTTTTCCTACAAATGGCATAGTTTCTTTTGTATGGCTGAACAATACGCTGCTGTGTACATACACTACTTTTTTTTTTTTTTTAAATCCATTCATTTATTGAAGGGTACCATTGTGAACAGTGCTGCTATAAACATGGGTTTTCAAGTATCTTGACTGTATGTTGACTACCTTCCTTTGGATATAGAAGGGCAAGCGTCTCTGTGTTTTGAACTGTTAGGTAACAGTACGATTTCAGAGTGTAGTGGATATCCTAATATTCTTGATCTGCTCTTTATTATTGATATTTTTCAGAAAAGCAGAATGATTTACTATTGGTGAGGTTTTTGAAGATCAACTGATTGAGGTTGCAATTAAACTTGTGACTTAGAGCATTGAAGTTACTATATATATCTCAGAACTTAATTTTTTTTGGTGTTTTTAAAAGGCATTCATAAAAATTATATGAAATTTACTGTAATAATTATTGCCTCTTTTAGTTCATGGCTATAGAAATAATTTGAGAATTATTGTGAAATCTTATATCTGATATAAACCTAAATGTCTAATTTAAATCTGTTGAAAGTAATTTTGAGAGTAGAGTGTTGATTCTTATAATAACAATTTTTCTCTTTTAATTAATACAAGTCGGAACTTGTTGATTGGCTGAAAACATTCAACAAAAACTTTCTTATTTTAATGAATTGGAAACCATTAACACAGTAAGTGTTTTTTGCTTTTTTATAATATTAGTTATTTAACGTTTCCCCTTTTTAATGTAATCTTCAAAGTTATACATTGGCTTGAGTGATATTTTAACATAATAGTTTGCTTATTAATAGGTTTTCCTATTATCATTTACAGAATTTTTCAAATGTAATGTAAACGGTATTTCTTAAGTTGTGTTACTGTTATTAAAGTCTCTTTGTTGGTTGCTCTTTATTGTATCGTACCTGTAAGCTGTGAAGATTAGAAGAAGAAATAATTTTAATACTGTTGTGGTTGTGCTACTGTAATATCAGTCAAAACATTTTTTAAACTAATTTTCATGTTTAGTTTGAGGAAACGTATAATCCTGATAAACTGTACTTGAATCCCAAATAATAGTGCCAGTAAATTTAGGCTGTTAGGTAAATTCTATTTCTGTATATTCCTGGTTCATAATTTGTCAAAATTATGTGTAAATCATGTCATTAAATAATCATTACTATAATTTTAAAAAGACATAGTAATAAAAGTAGCAACCAGTTAATTAAGGAATGCAGTTGGAATTAGTCCACTGGCAAGCTATTTGTCTGTCAAGATATATAATAATTGGCTGGTAATGTGTGACTGTGTGTGTGTGGTGCTGGGGTCTCATATATGCCAGGTGGACACTCTATCATGGAGCCACACTACCCCTAATATTTGGCTTCCATAATGTTACTGCTAAATACTGTGACTGCTTATTAGTCCTTTCACCATCAGAACACTGCCAGTGTTCAAAACTGCAGACATTAAACATGTTGTAAAGTAGTAGAAAGCGGGAAATACGGGTACTTAATGTGTTATTTCAATCTAACATTGCACAGTGGTGTAAAAAAAAATTTGCTAGCCAATGTGGATACTCTGGGAGGTCACTCCCCCTGGGCTCTGTCCAGGTGGCATATAGGAGCTTAGGGCTCGGCCCCAGAGTGTGTAGTCCCTTCTCACAATGTTGGAAAGAAGCTGGGCCTTGAGACTGTGACTCCATATTCCGATGACTTCTCAAGAGTCCTTTGGGCAGTGACTGAGGAGGCAAACCAAGCAGGAAACAATGTAAAAAAAATTTGCTAATTCACATATAGCCCTATTAAAGCTCATTAGGAGTAAACTGAATTAAATCAGTATTCTTTCCTACTTCTTTCCTCATTGTTATATAGGGACTACATTGAAGATATTTTTAATGATTTTTAAAATATAGTGTTAAATACATTAGTACACTGTATTACATCCTAAAGGGAAATACATCTTTCTTTCTGTCAATTGATTTATTTTCTTTATTTTTTTTTTTTCACTTGAAGAAATTGAATTCCCCTACGTTGTCTGTGAATAGTGAAGGATTTATACCTATGCTGGCCAAGTTAGATGATTGTATAACGTATATCTCATCACATGTAAGTCATGGTATTTTTGTATGTTTTAAAGAAATCTTAGCATTCTTATTATATCACGTCTTAGGTTGTAAAATAATTATTTCTTCTGAAGGGAAAATAGAGTCAACCCTCTGTATCCATGGCTTCTGCATCTGTGGATTAAACCAGAGTCAACTGTGAATCGAAAATCTTAGAAAAAAGTGTGTTTGTATTGAACTTGTACAGAAGTTTTTCCTTGTCATTATTCCCTAAACAATATGGTGTAACAAACTACTTTCATAGTATTCACCTTGTGTTAGGTACTATAAGTAATCTAGCGATACATTAAAATATAAGGAGGATGTGCATAGGTTATATGCAAATATTGTACTGTTTATATAAAGGACTTCGGCACTCACGGATTTTGATTTCCTTGAGGGTCCTGGAACCAAATCTTTGTCAATACTGAGGAATGACTGTATATATTCCTAGCATGTTGAAGAGAAACTGTAGGAAATTCTTTGTTGTTATAAGTAATGCTATAGAAATGAATTTCAGTTTCTGGGGTGTCCCTGGGAGTGGACAGGGTCCTGTTTGACTCATTTTTATCTTACATGTAAGATAGAAGGATAAGCTTTTTTTTTTTCTTTTTTGGTGGAACTGGGGTTTGAACTCAGGCTTTGTGCTTGCAAAGCAGGCACTCTGCTGCTTGAGCCACACCTCCAGTCCATTTTACTCTGGTTGTTCTGGAGATGGAGTCTTGAAAACTATTTGCCCAGACTGGCCTTGAACCATGATCCTCCCTCTCGGCCGTCCAAGTAGCTAGGACTATCAGTGTGAGCCACTAGTGCCTAGCTAATATAAGCCATTTTTAAATTTTTGATATCTGGATCTAGAAGTATCGTTTTAAAGATACTTCTTTAGAAACAGAAAGTGTTACTTGGGGGGAAGTAAAGGCATAAGCCCTTTGATTTAATAACCCTCTTTGTCTCCCAAGGATTTATTTCTGTGTTTCTCTTAACACCTATCCTTTTTGTAGTAGGGTCTTACATATCAGTCTCAGAGCCCATGGGGTACTGAAAATATATTTTGCTCACAGCTGCAAATATGTGGGGTGTGTGTGTGTGTGTGTGTGTGTGTGTGTGTGTGTGTATAGTACTTTGGTTTGAACTCAGGTCTTCATGCTTGCGAGGATTGAGCTATGCCTCCATTCCACAGGTGCAAATATTGATTGAGCTACTTTGTATTGAACACAGGAGATTTGGCTGTGACTAAGTTAGTCATTATAGTTATCTTCATAGCTCGTGATCTATATGACCTTTTTTTGAACTTCATAAATTGCTTTATATAAATAATACTTGGTTTTTTTTTTTACTATAAACTTGCTATTTTGTCAGTGTTTGTTTCTTCTTTGTAAAGCTTTGTCTTTGTTTTACAGCCTAATTTTAAAGATTATCCTGTATACTTACTGAAGTTTAAACAATGTCTTTCTAAAGCTTTGCACCTTATGAAGACATATACTGTGAACACACTACAGACCCTCACAAACCAGTTACTAAAAAGGGTGAGTTAAGATCCCAAAAAATGACTTGTTTTTAATTTTTTGATTCATTTACCTTATACAGTCTTTGTCAGAAATTAGTACTTTGTAATTCCCCAAAAATTGTTTTTTATTAAATAAAAGTATATACTACTACAGTTTTATTTATAATGGAGAAAGTGACCATATAAGTGTGCACTGTAGTCTTACTTTTAATAATATTTAACAGAGATGTATCCAGTACTATTTGATAAATAATTGAGATAAGAACTATTTGAAACTTAAAACATTTCTTTTCTAGCTTTCTCATGAAAATATTGGATGGAAACACACCAAAATAAAATAGTAAAAGTGATTCCATCTGAGTGGTGGGTAATTTTTTTTTTTTTTTTAAATTTATGGTACTGGAGATTGAACTGGGCACTCTTACCACTGAGCTCGATCCCCAGCCCTAATTGTTTTTCTTTACCTTATTTTTAGCATATGCACATGCACGCACACAGGTGTGTGCATACATACTTTTTTTTTTTTTTTTTTTAATTTGGCAGAGCTAGAGATCAAACCTAGTGTCTTATACATGCTAAGCAAGCACTGTACCACTGAACTATTTCCTTGGCACTTGGTTGTTTGAGACAAGGTCATGCTATGTAGCCTAGGCTGGCCCTTTATGAGATCCTCCTGCTTCTACCTCCTATATGCTTATAACAGGTGTGTACCACCATCCCCAGCAGCAAACATACTTCCTAATGCTTGGTATTATATCAGGACACTAAATAGTAGGAAAAGGAGCTAGCAAGCTTCTTGCCTTCATGATTCTTTTATTTAGGAAAAATAACCAGAGAAGAACAAAACAATTTAGTTACAAGTTGTAGTAGATGCTAGGTAGAAAATTAACAGGGTGTTAGATTAGGAAGTAAGAGCAGAGCTAGCTTAAGGTAGTCATTGAACATATTTCTTTCCTAAGAAAGAAAAACTATAATAAAAAATAGAAACTGTAAAGGTTATATTTTATTTTTTCGGTTTACTTTCTAAAAAACATGTAGTGTGTTCTTAACTTCAATTCAAAGCCATTTTGCTTTTCACATTGCTCATAGCTAACATAACCTCCAGACTGTATATTTTTCTATTTTGTAGAGTTCTCAGAAAGTTAACTAAAGTCTAATAAGTACCAGTGCCCACTCTGCTAGTGCTTTACTGTCGACTGCACAAAAGAGCTATGAGTGTATGCTATGGTAACTTCATGGGTACATGAAACTCAGAGAAGTAAAGAATTTGGCCAGTGTCTTACACTCAATAAATAACAGTATGAATCTGAACTCAGCTCTGTTTACTGCCAAACTCAAGTAATATAGAGTAAACTTTAGTTATAAAGGGAGAGAGATGACAGTTCCACTAATTATTTCTCATTTGTAGCAATAATATTTAAATCTCTTTGAGATTTTTCTCTTTAAGCTTTTGGTTGGTATGGAGGACAAACTAGTCATATCAAGTGCTGTATGTTACATTTCCTGAATAATTATTTGCTTGCTAATTACCTTCCTTCCCTATCCTCCCACATGTTTCTTTAGGATACTTCATCTATACCGAATGCAGACAATGCCTTCACACTATTCTATGTGAAATTTCGAGCTGCTGCCCCAAAAGTCAGAGTAAGTTTGTTGACATGAAGAGAATATTGTTATGAAATTTTTTAACCTAGCTGTTTGGAAGTCCTATTGTATGTTAGATCCTTTGTTTCTTCCAGGAGAATGAAAAGAACGCATTGTCCTTCAACATTTCAGCAGCATATCTTAGAGATGTATCCTGGCTTCTGATTGTCCACAAAACGGAAAACACCTAGCTTAGGAAGGTTTCTAGATGAAGATGATAGTTAAGCTTAATTTAAAAGCTTGGATTTTTTTATAAGGATATTTTATACAGAGAATGGCATTATAGGGAAGGATGTAGAGACATACCAGATACACATTTTGAGTGGACTCCATGTAATTTTTAGGACTAGAACACAGAATGTTTAGTAGGATGTGATAAGGAAGAAGACAGGAAAGATGGCTGGACCATCTCACAATGGATGTTACATGTCAGGCTAACTCAGGAAAAGTGAGAACAAATGAGATATCTTAAACAGGAGAGTGATTTGACCAGATTTACCATCTCATAAGATTAAGGATACAGTATAAGAAATGGATTATGTGAAAAGAGACTTGAGTATGCTGATTAACAAAAAAGGTTTTGCAGCAAATTGGGTGAGAAATAGGAGTTTAGTCAAGGTATTGATAGTATATTCCATGAGTTTGGGTATGAGCCTTATTTCCTTAGTATTATCTGATACATAAAGAAATGCACAATATATTTATCTTGATTAAGTGATTGGAAATGGAGAGGGCAAAAGTTAGTGTGTGTGTGTACATGTTTTATAACATATCTGAGATACAGTTAATTGGATCTGATACATGTATATTCCTTCACTAGAAAGAATAACATACTTTTACTGCCTATGACTTCACTTTCTTCCTTGTTTCCCTCTTGAAAGTCAGTCAGTTGAAAAGAGGATTTTGTTTTAAAATGGAAGAAACTTAATTTTTGTTATAGAAGATGTAGAGAAAAGAATGGTTAATTGATAATAGATTTATTTCAATGACAAAGAGCGTAAAATATTACCTAGCAATAACCTTAATGGAAATATAGCGATGAAGAAAATGACAAACTAGACTGAAAATTAAAAGACTGAATAAATGGTCTGTCTATCTTGTTCCTTGTTGGGGAGACTTCATTTTTAAAGTGTCATTTTTTCCTAGTATAATTTGTCAATTGGAACATACTCTTAACAAAAAATCCAGTGAGATTTCTTTAAAAAAATTTTTTTATTAGGGTATGTTCTTTGTACTGGGGGGATTCATTGTGAAAATTTCAAATAGTCTTATATTGTACATTGGTTAGATCACCCCCACTGTCTCCCCTTTACCCTCTCTGCCCCATTTTCCAGTGAGATTTCTTTTGCATGTTCCTAAACTTTACCTGGGAAATAGAAAAGACTAAACAAGAAAAATCTGAAAACTACAGTGTGCCATTCATTCAAGAATTTACTGACAGATCATTGGCATGGAAAATTCTAAAATGCAGTATAAGTTGGGCACTGGTGACTCACGCCTATAATCCTAGCTACTCAAAAGGCAGAGATCAGGAGGATTGTAGTTTGAAGTCAGCCCAGGGAAGTAGTTTGCAAGATCCTATCTCGAAAATACCCAACACAAAAAGGGCTAGTGGAGTGGCTCAAGTGGTAGAATGTCTGCCTAGCAAGTATGAAGCCCTGAGTTAAATCCCAGTCCCACCAATAAACAAACAAACAAACAAATAAAACATAGTATATAAAGAAACATTCCAAATCATGAAGGAGGGGCTGGAGTTTTCCACATTGTATTTGAAAAATTTGCTAAGTATTTGGGGAAAAAAACTTTCACTTCATAGCATTACCTAAATACATTCTAAATGAACTAATAAATATCAAAATGATAAGTAGTTACCTTCCCTCCAAAATAAACTAGAAAACATTATTGCAAAAATGATTAAAGATAAGAAAATTAAAAAATTTGAATTTTAAATAGCAAAAGCAAAGGCAGAAACTTATGTTTGTAACAAATAGGTAATACACTTAATATTTGTGAGTACCTGTAAATCAGTATAAGAAAGATGAATATCATAAAATGACCAAATTTTAGCAGAGCAGATCAAGAGTCTGTAAAGTACATCTCTCTTTTGACACAGTGAGTGTGTTGATGTCCTCACTTAAGAGGTAGGTGCCGTTTTTATACCAGTTTTATATGGAAGGAAGTGGGATTATAGAGAAGAGAACTAACTTGCCTGGGCTTAAACAGTTATGGTGGAGCCAAACCCCTTAGTTTCACTCCAGGCCCTTAACCCATGGCTGTAATTCTTTGGAAAGAACTTAAATGTGTAATAAAATTGTTGGGTGACTTTTGGTGCAACTACTCAGTAGGATATGTAGCCATTTCATGTAATATTTTAAATGTTATTTATATGATTCATTGAGTTTTACTGGGCAATAGGTACTGTGCTTAGGCCTTCTGTACATAAGCATCTGATGTTGAAGATTATTGAATGGTAGGAAAATATTTATAAAAATGTTATTTTAAAAAGGGCATAAAGCTAAATATTTACTATAATTCTAGTTTAAAAAGAAAAATACAGTAACTGGGTACAAAAAACTGAAAGAAGATATACTGAGATATTAAGTGTGATTACTTTTTATATTATGTAGGTGATTTAGAAAATTTTTTATATTTATAGTTTTTTGAGAATGTGATACTATTAAAATCAGACAGTAATGAAAAGTATAATTAAAACAATAATTTTTAATGCATTTTTCAGACTCTTATTGAACAGATAGAACAACGATCTGAAAAAATACCTGAGTGAGTATCCAAAAGTTCTTTGATTTCCAGATCATCTTCCTCTATCGTACTGTTTATCCAAACCTGGTTATGTCACCAGTTGTTTCTAGCAATTGCCTTTAAGCTTGTCCTTGTATTGCACACCTTGTTTTGGGGAGCAAGGCCTCAGACCTGACTTTTGTGAGTTTGCATAGGTCCAGTGTTTCCCATCGCAGGGTTTCCTTCTCATGTGGACAGACATAAGGTCCCTGTTCTTCATTTGATCTTAGCCAAAAGGCTGAGAAGCAATGAGGTCTCTGTTTTTGCAAGAGAGATCTTAACTGTTAATGATGAAGTCATTTTTACTCTGTGTAAATTGTACTTCAGTAAAGCTGATTTTGAAATAAAATCCTTCCAATGGCTCTCAAAAAAAACCCAAAAAACAGGCTGATGTGGTGCCTAGCCTAGCAAGTGAGGCCCTAATCAAACCCCAGTATTGCACAAAGAAAAAAAAAAAAAGGTAAGTCCTTACTAAGACTTCATTTTCTTTTTTGCAGTACTGGGGTTTGAACTCAGAGCCTACACCTCGAGCCACTCCATCAGCCCTTTTTTGTGATGGGTTTTTTCGAAATAGGGTCTCTCGAACTATTTGCTCAGGGCTGGCTTTGATTGAACCGTGATCCTTCTGAATAGCTAGGATTACAGGCATGAGCCACCACTGGTTTTGTTTTATATCTGTATTTCTAAGCATTTAATGTGGGCAAATGGGAGGTAAACATTACAGCTTTAGAGGCTTGCCACTTACTCTGGAGTTTAGCATCAGATTTAATTTACATATCTGAAATCAAAAGTTCTTACCCTAATCTTATTTTTATTTGCCTTCCATCAGATACCAGCAGTTGCTAAATGATATCCACCAGTGTTACCTTGATCAGCGGGAGCTCCTTTTGGGCCCTACCATTGCCTGTACTGTGACAGAGTTAACCAGCCAAAACAACAGGGATCACTGTGCCTTGGTATGCTTCTGCCTGTTTTGGTTTAATGTTAAGTCTTCCTCTGAGCTATTTTGATATCCTACTTGATTTACTTTTTTCTTGTAGTACTGGTCTTCCAAGTTTGGTTATATCCCTGGTATTTTCTGAGCATTTCCTTTAAGCTTAATCTTGTAGCATACAACTGAGTTTGGGGAGCAAAGTCTCAGTCATGACTTACCAAGTTTATATGGCTTTACCTTCCATATCAACAAACTAATTTCACTTTCACTTTTGGAAAATCTAATTTGATAATTAATCTTATTAAGCTTTACAAAATATTCTTATGTTTACTTAATTATTTTTTGAAGTGTAAACAATCACAAATAATTATTCCTTGAAAGATGAGATTTCAAAGTTGGTAGATTTATGTTGAAAATTTAATTTTCATGTAGCTTTTGATGCAGACATGTCTTTTTGTTTGGTATAATTTTAATTCATTCTATGGAAAAATAAATAAAGGTTCTTTTTTGTAAACTCCCCCCTCCTCAACTAGAAAAGTAATTTATGTTCATTATCAAAAGTTTAGAAAGTAAAGTATTAAGGGGAAAATAAAAATCACCTATTATCCATCTTATACTAATTCATTGAAAATCAAACATTTTCCATTCTTTTTTGTTGTTGTATAAATACATGTGCACAGTTTCTTTGCGAGCAAAATATAGGCTTTATTTCATCAGCTGTGTGCATCTTTAACTGTAGGTGGTATGTGTTTGTTTATTGCAGGTTCGCAGTGGCTGTGCCTTTATGGTCCATGTATGCCAGGATGAGCACCAGCTTTATAATGAATTTTTCACAAAGCCGACATCAAAATTAGAGTAGGTAGTACCTGGGATCTAGCTGTTGTTGATAAGATTTAAGTTGCCATTAACCATAATGGACTAGTATATTATAGGAATATGAATTCCCCAGTTAACAGCTTTTTTGTGTATGTAAACAGAATATTGCTGGGTGGGACAGTGATTATTTTCTATTTTGACTACTGGAATTTGAACTCAGGACCTCACACTTGCTAGACAGGTGCTCTACCACTTGAGCCACTTTATCAGTTCTTTTTTGTTTTGGGTATTTTTGAGATAGGGTCTCCCTCCCTCCTTCCTTTCCTCCTTTCCTTCCCTCTTTGTCTGGGGTTGCAGTCCTCTGATCTCTGCTTCCCAAGTAGTCAGGATTATAGACATAAGCCATCGGTGTCTATTTTCTTGATATAAATGTGCAGTCGAAAGGCCAACATGCTTTCATATTTTTTGTAGTACAATTATGGAGACATTGTGGAATGATAGCAAGAATTTTGTAAGGGAAACTAAGTCTTGAGATCTAAAGCCCCTTGTCTCCACTAAGTACAATTATCCTTCTAGTTTAAAAATTGTATAGTTCTAACTCGTAAAAAATACTTTTAAAATACAGATATTATTTAGTAACCTTTTAAAAATTTTTTTCACTTTTTTTTTTTTGTGGTCCTGGGGTTTGTACGCATGGCTTCAGGCTTGCTAGGCCACACCCCAGTCAAGGAGCAAAGGGTATGTACTTCTGCTTGGGAATTTTTTTATCCTTTTTGGCAGTACTGGGGATTGAACTTGGGCCCTTGCAAGGCAAGGACTAGGTCACTTGAGCCACAGTGGAATCTAGGGCCTTGTGCATTCAAGACAAACACTTTACCACTGAGCTATACCCCAGAACTTCTTTTTTTATTTGAGGTATAGGAGTTTGAACCTAGGGCTTTTGCTCTTGCTAGGCAGGTATTCTACCACTTGAAACATGCCAAGCCTTATTTTTCTCTTAAGTGTCTTTCAGATTCACTGTCAGTCACTTTTGATTTCTTCTTGTTGTCTATTTTTACTTTTACAGAGATTCTAAGATTATGACTCTTGTAACAAGGTAGACCAAAATGTATTTTATAATTTAAGTTGGAGTGATCACTTTTGATGAAATACTGTATATAGAAGAGTACTGTTGACAATATAAAGAATATAGACAACCTCGGTTATTTTTCTCCTTTCAGATGTTTAAAATTTCTCAAAATAATTGGTAAATGTACAAAGTACTTTGAGTTTTGTTTATGTAAATCTGTATGCGTTGAAGATGCTTGAGCTTGGCTTTTCTGCGGGCAAAATACCATTTGTTCATAATGAAGTAAAATATAAAAAGTAATCCAATAACTTGGCTTTTGAAAGGACATATACAAAATTATTGCTCAAAAAATCAGTTATAATAGGTTGGCTTTTGGTTGGGGGCAGCTAATTTGAATTAACTGCTATAGATTGCCCATTGATTATGAGCTGTTAAGACAAAAACAGTTTACAGAATTACTCTTTTCTTTCAGTTCTCATTTGTAATGTTCCAGATACCATTTTCTAGTAGATATTTATTATTTTTTGGTTAGAAGAAGTCAATGAAGCTTTTAAAGTATTAGAAAATCCTAAAAAGATTACTACTCATAACCATATTTTATTCTTTCATTTCAGTGAGCTTTTGGAGAAACTTTGTGTGTCATTGTATGATGTCTTCAGACCGTTGATCATTCACGTTGTTCATTTAGAGACTCTATCAGAACTTTGTGGGATTCTTAAAAATGAAGTGCTTGAAGATCATGTACAGAACAATGGTAAATAAAGAGAAGTGGTCGTCTTAAAGGTCCTTTTAATTATATCTGCAGCTCAGTGAACTTGAAAAAAATAAGATCATTCTTCCCCCAGCTCTCTCCCCCAATACATGCATATTGAATTTTTTTTAAAGTTCTTTATTTGTTGTAATTGTACTGGATTGAATCCTAGGCTTTGTGCAGGCCAGGCTATACCCCTAGACCTTTTTTTGTTCGTTTCGTTTTTTGTTTGTTTCGTGTGTGTGTGTGTTCTTTTTAAGAACACACACACACACACACACATAAATATTTTAATTTTTGATTTGTCATGCATTAATAATAGGAGAGGACTTCATTGTGATAATTCCATATACATGCATACAGTTTACTTTGAACAAATTTACTCCCTCTATTATAGTCCTATTTCCCCTTTCTCCTAAAGGGCCTCCCTGACTTTGTCTGATGTTGATCTTGAACTCTTGATCCTCCTGCCTCTGACTCCTGAGTGGCTGGGATAGGCATGTACCATCATACCCAGTTCAACATTTTTGATGTTTTAAAATTGTAAATAAAAATTTAGTATTTTAAAAGCTTGTATTGATAACTTGACTTGCCCGTCTTTGAATCAAGATGCACCATATTCTGTGACTAAACGTATAATTAGATAGGACAAAAACTTTAAAATCTGGGCAAAATTAGTAATAAAATAGTTACTTTTCATTCTGGCGTCTGGAATCCAGAGAAAACTTACCATTGGTTTTAGTTTGGCATTTCTTAGCACAGTGTTACTAGAATATATAAAATAATAACTTTTGCTTAAAAATGTGGAATTATTTTTAGCATACTTACATAGTAATGACATCATTTTTAAACTGCAAATAAAGAAAAACAGTTCTTTAGAATAATTGCTTTATCCATGTGACCAATTAAATGAAATTTGATTTGTCATAGAGAACATAATTTTCCTAATGAATACTTATGTATCTTTTAAAATATGCCTTACAGTAATCATTTTATTCATTCAATCATTGTCTTCATTTTGGCTTTCATTAGTAGACATGTGTCACTCTTCCACAGTTACTCCCACTGCATTTTCAGATGTACACTTTCTCACGAATCAGTGCTTCTGAACTTAATTTAATTTTATGTAATATGAGTGCTTTATGTTATGACAGTGTATTTAACTCCCTGTTCCTTGGAAAGATGTTATGGAATTACTGGTGTGTGTTAACATTGATAGCATCTTAGAAATGAAAAAATAATATATAAACTCAGTTTTACCTAGTTTTTTGCTGTAAAAATATTAATGTCATTTAATAATCTGGACTCAATTTATTTGTAAAGTGGGGGTGGCAGTAGCTCAATTAATAAGCTGCCTAGCTATCTATTAGGATTAGTCTGAACTTATATGAAATAGTTTTTAAAGAGCAACAAGCACTTTTAAAAAACCGAGATTCATTATTCATATTAATAATAGAAACAATCTTACAGAGTTCCAGGAAGAAGGTATACAAGGGCCAGTTTATTTCCTTATTTAATTAAATTAAATTAATTTATTTATTGCAGTACTGGGGTTTGAATCCAGGGTGTTGTGCATACTATGCAAGTGCTCTACCATTTGTGTATACTCTCAGCCCTTTTGCTTTTATTTTGTTTTGAAACAGGGCTCACTATGTTTTCCTGGGCTGGCCTTGAACTCTTGAACCCCTGTCTATATTTACCTTCTGAGAAGCTGGGATTGCAGGCATGTGCTACAGTGCCTGGCTTATTGCTCAGTTTTAAAAATTGGGAAAATTGAAAGACATAAATATGTCTTTTCTAAAGTCATTGAGTTATAGTGGAATAAAATACAGCTGTAGTCTCTGAAGCAAAAGTAGTTCATACTACTTTTTTGAACAATTTAGAAATACCTTTGCTTATTTATAAGAAAATAGTTTCCTAAATCTAAAGGAATGGGTGATTGCGTGCTTTTTTACTAGCTGAACAACTAGGGGCATTTGCAGCTGGGGTAAAGCAGATGTTGGAAGATGTACAAGAACGGCTCGTGTACCGAACCCATATCTACATTCAGACAGACATCACCGGCTACAAACCAGCTCCTGGAGACCTGGCCTATCCTGATAAATTAGTCATGATGGAGGTACGGTTTTCTCACTTCATCTCCTTTCTACCTCTCCGCAGTTTCTCAGTATTTTATATTTGTTCAAATAGGAGTATTCTTAAATTCTTACTACATTGTAAAATTAGATAAACTTGTCATAAAAATTATAGGAAAAATTGTACAGAAATAATTTGTTGTCCTTAAGTTATGTTTCTTAAATGTTCTATTCCTTTCTCTTCCCTTTGCCAGGAAATACTCATTCTTATTTTTTTTTTTTTGAGGTACTAGGAATTGGACCAGGGCAAAAGTGCTCTACCACTTAAGCTACACTCCCAGCCCTTTTGTTTGCCATTTTATTTTTGAGATATGTAAAATTAGATAAACTTGTCATAAAAATTATAGGAAAAATTGTACAGAAATAATTTGTTGTCCTTAAGTTATGTTTCTTAAATGTTCTATTCCTTTCTCTTCCCTTTGCCAGGAAATACTCATTCTTATTTTTTTTTTTGAGGTACTAGGAATTGGACCCAGGGCAAAAGTGCTCTACCACTTAAGCTACACTCCCAGCCCTTTTGTTTGCATTTTATTTTTGAGATAGAGTCTTGCTGACTTTGCCTAGGCTGGCCTCAAGCTTGAGATCTTTCTGAGTAGCTTAGATTATAGGTGTGTACCACCATGCCCAGCTGCATTCTTATTTTTTAAATTGAATTAGTGCTTTCTGTAATTTCTATGTTTCTTTTGTATGTGACATAGAAGAGGATTGATAACATAGGGACCACCATAGTTGATGGTGATAATGTAACCCTGTGTCAGGCTCTCATAAAAATCCAGATCATCATCTCTAAATTATATAGTTGCAACATTAATTTCTCTCATGAAGGCTAAGGTTTATCTCACTGATCTTTCAGACCCATATTGTATCTTCATTTTCTTTGACTTTTGGATACAGTGTAAAGAATGCCTAGAATGTTAGTGTTAGAACAGAATTATTAATGGGAAATTTCAGCTATAAGCAAAAATGTAGATAATAGTATAATGAATTCATAGGTACCCTTACCCCAGCCCAGCATGGCCAGTCTGTCAGGTACGGCTCCTTTCTCCTCTTTGCTCTCATTATGTTAGAGCAAATTTCAAACATCATTTTTCAATTTGTAAGTACTTTAATAGGTAACTCCGAAAAGTAAGGGCACTTTATTTTTATTTTTAACATAACCATAAAAGTTATCACACCTAAAAACATTTTAGTTCCTTAAGTAATAGACACAAATATCAGTTGAATCTGTAACGTTTCCCAGATTCACCAGTTGTTAATGTTTTGTCAAACTTCCTTTATCTCTTTGTGCATTTTTAATTGCCAAATCATTTGAAAGTAAATTGAAGAATCTTGATTCTTTACAGTTAAGTACTTTAATTTTATTCTAAAAATAAAAACATTGGTCACAAAACCTCAGTACCGTTTTCACATCTAAGGTAAATAGCATTGATTCAGGAATGTTTTTTACATATAGTCCCTAGTTGTGTTCAAATATCTTTAATAATTGGACTGAAAAATTAAAAAATAAAGTTGCACCCAAGCAAAGTTGAACCTGTGTTGCATTTTTTTGCTTCTTGTTTTTATAACATTAACTATTTTGAAGAGACTGGGTCAGCTTTTTTTAATGTGATATATTATGGATTTGTTTGATTGTTTCTTCTTGCATAGAGTTAGGTTAAAAAAGTTTAATTTTTTTTTTTTTGGTAAGAGTACTAAATAGCTGATGTGTACCTCTCAAAGGTACATAATGTCAGGTTGTTCCACTAATGGGTAAGGTGGTAATTGTAAAAGTGTATTTCCTGTTTTGTAATTAATAAGTATTTATGGCTGGATTTTATGTGAGTTTCCCAACATCAGTTCAGCCAGTTCGTATTGCTAAACATTGCTGAAAACTAGAACATTTCATTCTGATTTCTCTATGCAGCAAATTGCTCAGAGTTTAAAAGATGAGCAGAAGAAGATACCTTCAGAAGCTTCGTTTTCAGATGTTCGGTTAGAAGAAGCAGAGTCTAATAGTCTAACAAAATCTGGTATGTTTAACTTCCAGCATTTACTTATTCAGTTAACAAACTTTTATTGACTTATGTCCCTGGCACGAAAAACAGCTGTGTCTTTGAAGAGTCCAGAGTAATTGGGGGAGATTGTTAGACCCCCAAATGTAATTCTGTGGTGAGTGAAATGCTGGCAGGATGCACAGAGTATTTTTAGACCACAGAAGATCTTTGAGGCATGGAAATTAGAAAGGGAATGCCTCTGAGTGCAGGAAGGTAGAGTCAGTGGGAGGAGTGATGTCTGAAAGCTGAGTGTGGTTTTGTAAAGACTGTGAGAGTCAGGTGAAGTTAGATTGTTTAAGATAGGTAGAATAGCATGTAGGGAGGCATGGAGGAATGGAAGACTATGGCTGCTTTGGGGATGTCTGGTGGTTGTGTGTTTGGGAACTTTGTATGTGGGGAAAAAGCAGGTTGGGCAGGCCAGATGTGTGATAGTATCATTGCCTTTGGACTTCCAGCTAGTCTAGTGTGTCAGGGTAATTACACCATCAGATTTTGTGAACATATTGAGTGGCTGAGACTGTAGCAAAACGTTATTGACAGATGTATGGAATAGCTTGGATTTTGCAACGAACAAAATTACTCAAGGTTCATTTATGAGTGACTTTGATAAGCTAGATGGGTTGTAAGGCCTACTTCCCTCCCAGCTGTTTGGGCAACATTAGAATTCAACTCCCTATGGGCTAGCTGGAAGTGGGGGTACTGTAACACTGTGGGGCTTTAAAGAGCCCCAGCTTCCTCAAGATCCCCAGGTTTAGAGCATTATCAGGTACTCTGAGTCAGCTCAAAATCCCCAAATTCCCATCTGACAAAGCCATTTTATCATTCTTACCCTATAGGGTGACACACAAGAAGCTAAAATTTCTCTTCTGCAATAGAACCCATGGCATGTCCTAGTATACTTTGGCCTTAGTAAGCCTCTTTAAGAGTTTTTGGAGAGACAAGAGGACATCCCTGTCTTGCCAACTCTGGCCTTGTGTGTTTTCTCCTTCTCCAGTAAAATGTATTCTTTAACCCATGCCTGGCATTACAATGAAGAAGTTTTGGCTGAATTGTGAAGACTGGGTAGGATGCTACTGTGTTTTTTTCCATTTGAAAGATGCAGGTGGTTTGAATCAGATGAAGGGATGGAGAAAAGTGCAGAGATGAGGGATATGGTAAGAAGTTTGAATCAGTAGAATTTGATGTCAAACTTGATGTGAGGGTGAGGTAAGAGTAGAGTAAGACTGGTGGGGGACAACGAAGAGGATCTGGATTGTATGAATCTAGAGTTGTGCTGTCCAGTGTGGTAGCCACCTGCCATTCATGTGAAATGTAGCTAGTTCTTCCAAATGTGCCAAAAATGTGGAAAATACATACCACATTTGAAAGACTTAGGAGAAGACAAAGTATGAAATAAAGAATGGAAAACATTAGTGATTTTATATTGACTGTATTTTAAAATGATATTTGGGATATATTGGATTAAATAAAATATCTTAAAATTCTACTTGTTTCTTTTTATACTTTCAATGTGTCACGCTTATGACTCATGTTATATTTCTGTTGGACAGCACTGCTCTAGTGCTATAAATAGGAGGACTGGTTTAGAGATAAAGATTGGAATAGTTGTTACTTTGGGCTTGTATAAGATCATCCCAGACAGAGAGTTGAGTGATTGTAGCAGAAGTCCAGGGAGAGACTTAGCCAGTGCCAACATTAAGGAGCAAGTGGTGGCAGAGGAGTGAACTGAGCTGACTGAGGGAGAAAAGCCAGTGAGCTCAGAAGTGGACAAGTGAGAGGGTGTGGTTAAGGCAGGAAGGAGGGCTTGGCCTTGCAGTTTGAAGGAATGGGTAAGAAATATGAAAGCATAAGGACATTGTAGTTACAGAGGGGAATATTGTTTTAATTCTTATGAAGTGGAATAATTGGAGTAAGAAGAAGGTCTGTAGAACGTAATAAGAATGTAATTCCATAAAAGTAGTAAGAAAATTTGACTCTGAGGGAAGATTATAAGGATGGACATGAAAATCTTAGGAATTAAGATCATAGTTATATAACCCACATGGGTCATCCATATAGGCATTAATCAGGATGGTGATAGATGATAGAAAGCAAGCCTGAATTAGGGGGCAAGGGGAGGAAAAAAAAAAAAAGAGTATAATTACTTTTCCTAGTTCCAAGTATTTTGGAAGTGAGAGAATGAGTCCCAAAGGTGACTTTAAAGGATGTGAGTTCATTGGGGTAGAATGAGGTCTCCTCCATAGAATATAGAGGGTCTTTCTGTGAAGAAGGCAATTATCAGTCCTTCCAGAAAGCATATGCTTTATTTTCTATGTAGAGAAGTCAGGAGAGTTGAGGGCCTGGAGGGTGGTGGAGGAGGGTTGATGGAGGAGAGGACATGTGAGAGGGCTGTGGGAGAAGCCCTGCTGCTGAGGTGGTTTTCCCTTTGAGACACTTGGCTTTGACTCCCAGGGAAGTAACTTTTAGACTTTTGCTTTCTATCCTAAAATCCATCACCATTCTGATAACACCAGTAACTGTGTGGGTAACCATATAGGTCTTATAACTTTGACTTTCTCAACAGTTAGTTAAGCAGGACATTGAAAAAATGAACAAACAAACCAAAACATTTGTTTTAGTAAACTTACTTGGAGTACTTTTTTGGGTCTTTATTTTAAAGGAGGGATCCTACATATAGCAAATACTTAGTAAAACTATAGATGCTTAATTTCTTAAATATTTATATAATTTGTTCTGTATCTTTTTTTTTTTTCTATCATTTTTACATTTACTTACTTGTGTGTACATTGTTTGGGCCACCTTCCCACTCAATCCCCCCCTCTTTTTTTCTTTAAGAAACTATATGAAGTAGATCTTACTTTAAAGTGAGGCCTTATTATAGGAGAGATTAAAAATTATGCAGGTTGCATGCCTTTGGGGAGAAAAAAATCTTATTAAACTATAAAGTGAAAGCACTAACCCTCAATTCCTTCATTTCTCTCCTTCAAATCCATGCTACACGGATTTGCCTAGCATGCACGAAGCCTTGGGTTCAATTTACATTACTGAAAAAACAAAAGGAACTGTGTTTATTCTGTAGCTTATTACCAACTATATCATGCATATGTTTTTACTTTTTATTATTGAAAAAATTTCAAATATATAGAAAAGTATGGAATGAACACCCATATTCACTGCCTGGATTCAATACTTAACATTTTTTCTTTTTGGTGAGACTGGGGTTTGATCTCAGGACTTCGTGCTTACAAAGCAGGCACTCTATTGCTTGAAGCACACCTCCAGTCCATTTTGCTCTGGTTACTTTGGAGATGGGGGTCTCAAGAACTTTTACTGGGAATGGCCTCAAACTGAGGTCTGCCTGATTTCAGCCTCCCAAGTAGCTAGGATTACAGATGTGAGCCACTGGCTCCTGGGAAGACTTAACATTTTATCATATTACACATAACACATGCATACATACCTTTTTCCCAATCATTTAAAAGTACATTCTCAGTATCATTGACCTTTCACCCTTGAATAAACATTTCTCCAAAAATAAGAACATCTCTTAAATAACCATAAATGATTATTATATTAAAACTTTAGTAAAATTTCCTTGAAAGTCCTTTAATATGCAGTCTATATTTTAGCATCACTTCCTGTCCCAAAGATTATACCAGCTGCACCTTTGTGGATCATTTGCAGTCTGGTCCTTGATGCTAAAGTGAGTGTGCTCCTCTGTGGCAGTCTCTCTGCTTAGCCACACTCCCTGCCTGACCCTCCACTTGCCAGAGGCTGCCTTTTCTGACTTGTCTCGTGTGGGGGAGTGCCAACTCTCATCACTTCTGAATTGAATATTCTAAGTAGGCCTGTAAGTGATACAACTCAGCAGGGAAGGCAGACTGACAGGCAAGCCAGCTTTGATTAATCTTCCTGGTTAAAATTGCTTTTTTTCCTTATCATTTTCCTACCTCCAGTGGTTTTCACTTACTTCCACATTATTATATATAGATCTACCTCCTAGAATCTGGTGGTATTCTAGAAGTGTTCTTTAACTTATTTCATAAAGATTATTGATCACAGTTTGGGAAAAACAATTTTGGCTTATATATGAGACTAGAATGTATATGATATGTGTGTAACCCTATTCACTCTCACTTAATGTGTTAAATCTTACCTGTCACTGGTTTAGATTTCTTAGGACATTCTTGATTCAAGTTGAGGCTGGAAAAAAACTGATACATTCTAGCTACTAATAACTAATGAGAATAAATAATTTATTCTTATTAAATTACTGTAAAACATATCCACATGCCTGAAATATATATTTTTTTCCATTTGGGTTTTAGCTTCAACAGAATCCCTCAATCCTAGACCACAAACAACGATTTCTCCAGCAGATCTTCATGGGATGTGGTATCCTACAGTTAGAAGAACTCTTGTCTGCCTTTCCAAATTATACAGATGCATAGATGTATGTTTATAAATTCTTATCTTTACTGTTAATTGCAAATTTGAATTTAAGGTCTTAATGTAGTATTTTGTTTGATATTCTTAGAATCATGATTTTTAGACATGGAGGTAACTTGAAAGTCAATCCAATTTAGGAATTCTCAACCTGTGCACTCTTGAGACCCTAGAATCTACTAATGGGCTTTGGGTAAGGCTTTAAACACCCTTAAGTTGTGGGTGAGTTTTATATATATGTTTGTATTTGTTCCTTTCTGATGAGAAGGACTTCAGTTTTCATCAAAAATTTTTTTAATCAATACTAAGGCTTGAACTCAGGGCCTTAATTTAGGTAGGTGCTGTACCATTTGAGCCATTCCCCTAGCCCTTCATCAATTCTTAAAGTATTTGACCTCAAATAAGTTTAAAACTGATTAAATTGCCTGCTTTAGTTTATAGATGAAGAAAAGAGATGCAGAAATGTTAAGTGATACATCCAATGTTACATGGGTATAATATACATTTAGTACCAAGCTCAATTATTTTAATCTAGGTTTTTTTGTTTTGTTTTGAGAGAAGGTCCTGCTCTGTAGCCCAGGCTGGCCTAAAAGCTTTCAGATTCTCCTGCCTCAGCCCCCTAAGTACTGGGATCACAGGTGTGCCACCATACCCAGAACTGTAATCTAGTTTTGGATTTACTTTGAATCAGCATCCTTAACAAAGAGTGTTAAGATTGCATGTTTTTCTAGCGATGAACTAAGTTTTTTTTTTTGTTTTGGATGGAGGGCAGAAAAGAACTGTTTTTAAACCTTAATTGTAGTTTTAGGCTAAGTTTAATAACTTGCTGAAATTAGCAGTACTTTAAAAAAAAATTTTCAGGCACCACCTTAGATTCTGCATTGATTTCAGGAATATTTACTTTAAGTATTCTAGTTTACTGATATGGTTATTATTCTCTGCAACAACAGATTTGTCTACATATTTTCTTGGAGTGGTTTGCTTCTAAACCAACATAGTTTATAAAATTTTGTGGTTTTAATTCACTTTTTAATTTCTTTATTTGATTGCAATAACCATAACTGCATGTAGAGAAATGATTGAAGATAGCAGTCATGTAATAAGTTGTCCTGACACCACTATTTCTTAAGGATATGATTCAAAAGGAGTATGTACACATCAGAGGTATTCTGTACTACAGAGTCCTAGGACTAAACAAAGTTGCACATTTGTCTCATGGGGTCACTTGAGTCCACAGTAGTCTGTGTTTAATTTAAACTATGTAGTTTGTGAGATCTCTTCCAGAGGGAAGTTTGGACATTTGGCATCTCTTCTCCTCCAGTTCCCCATTAGGTATATTGATAATAGCATTAGACTAGGATTCAGAAACTTCCTACAGTGGAGCCAGGATCCCAAAGGAAATGTGTAGGAGGTATGGTATATTCCACATAGCATCAACCCTTTGTTATCACAGACCCTAATGACTGAAGCCTCTGATGATACTTAGTCGGGACTTTAGCTAAATAATAGGTAGGTCTAAGGAAGTCACTCTGCCTGGTTTTGTTTTATGCCTCAGGCTTACCTATTTTTTTTTTTTCACCTAGCTCACATCTAAGTCTTAAAACTTCTCAGTTTTACTGATCAAAGGTGAGGGAAGGCGAATCCAATGAAAAACACATCAAGGCTGAGGAGGGATCAGCAGAGGCAGCTCTAATTCCTCCTTTCTCTAGAGGGAGAAAATTACAAAAAGGAGAGTAATGTCAAGTAAGAGACCAGGGCCAGGGCTGTGGCCTAATAATAAATGCCTTGTACATCCGTTTCTACGAGTTCCATCTCACATAGAATGGAGGCATGGAGGGAAGCAAGGGAACCCACGGAGTCACTGCCCAACCATTACATTACTCCTCTAGGGTGGTACAGAGATGGAGGAATTATTTGAAATTTCTACTTCACATTCTTTGTATAACCTGCTTTTCTTTTTCTACTTGATTATGTAAGAATTTTACCACCTCCCTCAGTGTCTTTTGTATGTACATACAGTATTCTACAGTTTAGTTTACTAGCATTTTATTTGTCAGCCTCCCATCATTGTACACTTATTCCAGGTTTTTTTGCTGTTTTAAATAACAATGTAATGAAGAGTCATAAGCATGAAGATTAAAACACGATACTGATTAATTACCTGGGGTAAAGTTTTAGAACAGAATTTGCTGAGGGTATGTTTTACAGTTAGGTTTAGAGCTTTAAAACACAGCCCCACAACATTTGATCATGCCGGAGTGAGGGCTATGTGCATCCAGAACCCTGCCTGCCTGCCTGTACTGCCTAGCATCTACCACAGTAGATGCCAGGATGTATTTATTGAAGGAGCATGAGTGTTTCTAGACATGAGTGCACATTGTTAAACCATGTGTTGGTCTAGAAAGGTTGCATGGGAATAGAAAACTCCACGAGTAATGATAACCAGTAAGAAATTAATCCATTGATCACTGTTTGTTGCCTTTATGGCTTAGAATTTTCCTGTGTGTGTGTGAAATGCCACAGGCTGATGTTTCTCTTTTATTCCACCAGAGGGCTGTATTCCAAGGATTATCACAGGAAGCATTGTCTGCTTGCATTCAGTCCTTACTGGGAGCATCAGAGTCTATCAGCAAAAACAAGGTTTGATGAAGTGTTAGGTGAAATTTTGTTACCTATAATAATATTGTTCAATACAGTATTTATTTATAGGCACAGAAATTTAAATGCATTTTGGCAGTAAGATGTGTTTGTTTACTATTGAATTTTGAGGCCCTTTGAAAGATGCTAACATTTCATGGTAGTGTTCAATAAAGACTGCATGCACTGTCTAAGAGAGTCCAACTTTCTAACATACCAAAAATGGCACTTAGGTTATAAATTCTGTAGGGTAAATGTTTCTTGTTACTACCTTAGCGACTGGGGAAATGGTATTGCTGTTGCCTTAGAATATCATATTGTTTCTAAGGAAACAGCTGTTTAATCATCCCTACAATATTGTTTTTAATAGTTAAATGGCCTCATCTGGAGGAAATCAGCCAGTTTTGAGGACAGGCAATTGTGGCCTTTAGGTTGTGTGAATAAAAGTAATTGCCATGACTGCATAGCTTAAGGTTTTTAATCAGGATGGCTCTGGTGCTGGCTTGTCCCATGACCTTGTCAGGAAGTGGAGCATGGTCAGCAGTGTTGCTCTGATTAGCCTCCACATAAATTCCTGTTGCCTACAGGGAGGGGGCTGTGGAGGCTGCATCCAGCCAGAATTTCATTGTTGCTTGAAGTGTTCAGACTCTGTAACTTCTAGATTTACAAACTTGATTTCTAACTTCAAGAAAAAAAAAAAAAGACTCCTCAGAGAAGAATTTGTCATCTTGTTGCTGGAAACAGCTCTACCTCTGTTTGTAACCACTGTATTTTCCCATTTGTGGAATGGAGAGTTGAAATGAAATTTTGGTATAGGGACTAGGAGAGGATGGAAAATAAAGTCATAGAAAGGCAGATTTAAATTTAAATAGTATTTGCGAGTCTGACCTCTCACTTAGGAACTAAATTGGGGCATATTCCATATGGTAGAATATTATACAGCCATTAAATTTAAAACACGAAACAATTAAATGTAACTTGAACATGTTAAGAGAAAAAAAAAGGCAATGTACAAATTAAATATTCAGTATGACTTTACATAGTAAAAAAATGTGTAAATGTGTTGCCAATAACAGTGAAAGCTTATAGGTAACTGCCTCCCCCCCATTCCCTGTACATTTCTTTATGTTCCAAATTTTCTACAGGGAACATATGTTTCTTACATCATGAGGAGGGAAAGAATGACCTAATTAAAATAAAGCACATATGTTTATGGCCTCTTGTACTGCTGGCCGTTTTTGTTTGTTTGTTTTACAGCCTTTTACATATTCTGTCCTCATTATCTGTAGACCATCCTCTCTTACTTAATTCTGTTTCCTACATATTATAAGTGGTTTAAGTATATATGAGGAAGCCTTCAGTTTGATAATGACTAGCTCATTTATTTTCGTGGTTGTGTTTTGGACTTTTGCCTTTCAGCTTTTTAGAAGTGACCAGTGAAAATGGCCTAATGTTTTAGTTTTTCTAGTTTTTGAAAACAAGAATTATTCTTCATACTTAAATTGAAACTTAGCTTACCAGTAAATTACCATGATACTATTTGCTGGATTTCTACAGCTTTAATAAAATAAACGAAAGCTAAATGATACTATTTTTGCCATCAGTTTTAAAAGAACTTACTTTTAAAATAGAGCAAGTATTAAAAATGTGTAGCATTTTGTACTTTTTTGATGCTCTAGAATGCAAAGTGAATTTCTATCCCATAAGTCATTCTTACATTGATTATGTTTATTAGAAGCGGGAGGAGAGAGAGCTAGGAAGGTGTCACTTTGTTTAATAACCCCTTTAAAATTTATGTTGCTACTAAAGGATTTCTTTATTTTTTTCTAATGTAATATAAAAAATTTCATTAGAGATATTTTCAAAATAAGATTCTGTTTTGAGACACAGCAAGAAGGAACAAATATAGCCTTGCTTTTACTAATATACAGACTTCTAACATGAGAGGTATGATTATTTATTATTTTGGGATTGAGTCAGGGCTTTGAGAACTAATAGTTTCAATCACAGGCTCTTGTGGATAGGTCATGAGGGGGCAGGAAAGCATGCAGGACTCTTAGGGTGTAGAGTCATTGTTCACTGGTAGCAGGATACTCCAAGATGGTGAGGTTAAATCATTTTACATTTGGAGAGTCCTTTTGTACTTTTGTGTAAATAGGAGTAAGTCTGATGTTCTGGATATTGAAATCACTTTGACCACATAGTGAAAACTGTCTTCCCAAAGGCCTTGAGAGGGCAGACTCATGCTCATACTTGAGGTCTCCTGCTCTTTGTTGACATTAGCTGCATCATCTCTTCTACCTCTGCACCATTAAAAAAGAATTGACTTCTCTTTCTAGATGAGGTGCTGGACAGCCTTTTGTCTGACTTTCTTAGAATTTTCTAATAGAGCAAGTGATAGTGTTGAGTTTGAAGCAAGATTTTTTCCACATAATTCTAACATGGGTAACATGGGGAGAACTCATTGCACAGCAAAGGAATATTGGCACTCTGAGGCTGTAAATTTAGGTAAATTAATATTGGTTAAGAACACATATTTTATATACTTCTATTGTGGTTTAATCTGGTAATATTTATTTTTTTGTCTTTGTAATTTAGACTCAGATTGATGGACAACTTTTCTTAATTAAGCACCTTTTGATTCTTCGTGAACAAATTGCTCCATTTCACACTGAATTCACCATTAAGGAAATTTCCCTGGACCTCAAGAAAACTAGAGGTATTTTGTCTTCCTGGCTGGCACACTTGGTTGTGTTTGACTTGTCCAGATGTGTCAGCACAGGTTATAGGTTTATTTTATGTTCATCTGCAATTTTTTTTGCATGCTTTGCTTGCTAATATGTGATACTTGTTCATACTAAGCTAACTTGCTCTATTTTCTCTTTGAGGGGAACTGTATCTGAAGCATTCTAACTTGTGATATAGTATTACTTCTCTTAGGCTCGGCCACGTATCACCAGGGCCAGTTAGAAAGAGAAAAATCAATGTAATAGCTTATTACTGAGTGTCAACTGATTGGGATGATTTTAAGCATTGAGTTCAATTTGTTGGCTTATGAAAATTGAGGAAGTCAGAGTAAAGTGAAAGACATACTTGCCTGTGAGTCTGAGTCAGACTTTGTTCCTGTTGCATCATGCCCTGGCTCTTGTGTGATTTTGGATGGATGTTTTAGCTTCCCTACCCCACCTTCCTAGGTAAAAGGAGCATGTGAGGGTGTCCTCATACCTTCACTAGTTATAAAGCTTATTAAGAATAATTTTTATTATTTTTATTAAGAATAATTGAAAATATATGTTAATATGTTAGGTTAATGTTCTTAAGTTTTAGGTGCTTAAATAAACTTACAGTTTTATTGTTAAATCAGCCGCTTGTTAAGTATTCTTGTAAATAGGGTCTTTGAACTGCTGATAAATGTTGACTCGCCTTGGGAAAGATGATTCATCCATCCTAATGATTTGTCTCTGAATTAAGAGATGATTTTTAAAAGATCAAAGTAGTTACTGTAGTTAAGCTGTAGATCTTAAGCAGTTAAGGATATACCATAAACATCAATCATTTCCCTTCATTACTTACACATTTTTATAAAACTTAATCATTTTCAAGAGCTTTAAGCTCTTATGCCTTAAGCCAATTCCTTTATGTAATGAATTAACTCCTCTTATCTGTTGGGACAACTAAGAAAACAGTGCCTCAAATTATTTTCTGTGATTCTGTGATTCAGAGCAACCCCAAGCACATAATTTCCAAAGATAGCAGGAGTTTAGCTCCCTAATTACTGTCCTTATTTAGAAGACAGTGGACGTAATTTAACTCAGCTGAGCTCCATTGTGGCTTCCTGATGTGTCATATTAAAACTATTTGCCCTGTTTTCCTCTTAATGCTCTGATTTGTTCACCATAGAGAATACTTTATGGTTTTGTAAAGCCTGTGTGTCTTACTTACCTACTTTGTCATTTTCTTTTTGCACAGGAGGCAGATTTCTTGACTTTGCTTTTAAAATGCACATTTTTATTTATTTATTTATATTTTTATTTTATTCATATGTACATACAATGTTTGGGTCATTTCTCCCCCCTTCCCCCGCCCCCTCCCTTAACCACCCCACCCTCTTTCTCTTCCCCCCCACCCCCTCGCTTCCAGGCAGAAACTATTCTGCCCTTATCTCTAATTTTGTTGAAGAGAGAATATAAGCAATAATAGGAAGGAACAAGGGTTTTTGCTATTTGAGAGAAGGATAGCTATACAGGGAGTTGACTTGCATGCTTTCCTGTACAGTGTTTACCTTCTAAATTAATTTCTCAAACTAACATTTACTCTAGTTCCTGTCCCCTTCTTCTATTGGCCTCTATCTTTTAAAGTATCTGCATTAGTTTCTCTGTGTTGAGGGCAACAATTGCTATCTAGTTTTCTGGGTGTCTTACCTATCCTCATACCTCCCTTGTGTGCTCTCACTTTATCATGGGATCACAGTCCAATCCTTGTTTGTTTGCCTTGATCTAATGTCCGCATATGAGGGAGAAATACGATTTTTGGTCTTTTGGGCCAGGCTAACCTCACTCAGAATAATGACCTCCAGTTCCATCCATTTACCCAGCAATGATAAATTTCATCTTCTTCATGCTGCATAAAATTCCATTGTGTATAAATACAATTTTCTTAATCCATTCATCAGTAGTAGGGCATCTTGGCTTTTCCATAACTTGGCTATTGTGAATTAGTGCTGCAATAACATGGTTGCAGGTGCCTCTGAGTAACCTGTCACATTTCTTTTGGGTATATCCCAAGAGTGGCATTGCTGGTCATATGTAGATCTATGTTTAGATTTTTAAGTAGCCTCCAATTTTTTTCCAGAGTGGTTGTACTAGTTTACATTCCCACAACAGTGTAAGAGTGTTCTTTTTTCCCCACATCCTCGCCAACACCTGTTGGTGGTGTTGCTAATGATGCATTTCAGAGTGAGGTGGAATCTTAGTGTGTTTTTAATTTGCATTTCCTTTATTCTAAGATGTGAGCATTTTTTCATATGTTTTGGCCATTTGAATTTCTTCTTTGAGGAAAGTTCTGTTTAGTTCACTGCCCATTTCTTTATTGGTTCATTATTTTGGGAAGAATTTAGTTTTTTGAAGTTTCCCTTTATATTCTGTTATCATCCTTTGTCTGATGTGTAGCTGGCAAAATTTCTCCCACTCTGTGGGTGTTCTCTTCAGTTTAGAGACACTTCTTTTGTTGAACAGAAGCTTTTTAGTTTTATGAAGTCCCTTTATCTAGCCTATCTCTTAGTTGCTGTGCTGCTGGGTTCCATGAGAAAGTTCTTTCTATACTATTAGTTCCAAAGTATTTCTGTACCAACTTAGATTTGGGTCTGATATTAAGATCCTTGATCCATTTGAGTTAATATTGGTATAGGGTGATATCCATGGATCTAGTTTCAGTTTTTTGCAGACTACTAACCAGTTTTCCCAGCACTTTTTGTTGAAGAGGCTGTCTTTTCTCCATCGTATATAAAGTGCACATTTTTAAAAAATACACATTTGTATCAGAATCTTCCATCTCCCAACTCTTCAAGTTGATTTCCTTCTTTCCTTTCAATGTGAGGTGTGAGAATGGTGCTTTTACCTTGAGGAATTCCTGGCTACTGATAATAATAGGATACATTAGGGTTGAGGTTTTCTTCTTTGATTTTTTTTTTTTTTTTCTGATTTTTAGGTTGTTGCCAGTTGGTTCTAGTGTAGCTTCATTGAGATGTGAGAAAATGAAGTATCCTAAGATTTTGGCAAAATTTGTTTTCCTCCATATTTATAACATTTATATAAACCTACCCTATGGTAATTTGATTCTCTTTATTGGAGACAGAATGTTTCAGGTATCTTACAGAAGAGAACCGACACAAAGAACCATTAACTAAAGCTTTACTCTTAGTACTGAATCTGATAGAGGAGGTTCTTTCTAATTAAGACCAGGCAGTAAGGATTATTGTGGTGTGTGCTTGTAAAACCAGGGTTGGAAGCATTTCATACTTTGCTTTGTCCAGTGTGGCGAAGCATTTCATACTTTGCTTTGTCCAGTGTGGCAAAGCAAAGCACCGATCTTTTTTGTTTTTTACTATCCCTTAATAATACTTGCTATCTTCACTTTTAAGCCTTAACCTTTTGTGACTAACATATCTTATTGCATTTGAACATCAATGAGACCTCAGTTAGTACTTTGCATAGATTCTAGTTAGTCTGGAGGTTGAGGGGTAAATACGTCCTCTTGGTGTTTTCTTCCTGGCTGACACATTAGTTTATTCGCTCCCCTTCAAGTGAATAAATTCTGTGCCAGCCAGAATCTTAAGAATTTGGGTAAGTATATGCATATTTTAAAAAACCTACTTAACATCTAGAAGTAAAGCAGTGAAATTTTTATGGTGTTATACCATTTTTCAGTTTTCTTTTTTTTTTGTAAATGGATAATTGAGATTAATAGTCATTTTGCAATTCTGACTTCTGGAAAATAACTATGTGGGAACTATAGCTGTCACTGGTACTCCTGGAGGTGACTTGGTGAAGATGAATGCCTTCTGGCTTTATGACAGTAGAGAACTAGCATGTATTACACAGGGCTTCTCTTTGAAACTGTACATGTTCACTGGATGAGTAATTTTGTTTCACAGATGCAGCATTTAAAATCCTGAACCCTATGACTGTTCCGAGATTTTTTAGGCTGAATAGCAACAATGCCTTGATAGAGTTCTTGTTGGAGGTGAGAAGAAGCCTGTTTCATTGGTGGTGGGAGGCAAATGACATTTTTACATGTCTAGAAATTTCTTGGCACTTTATAAAAATGGAAGAAATTGTCATCTTCTTTTTCAGGGTACTCCTGAGATAAGAGAACATTATCTTGACTCTAAGAAAGATGTAGACCGGCACCTAAAGTCTGCTTGTGAACAGTTTATTCAGCAGCAGACCAAGCTGTTTGTAGAGCAGCTGGAAGAGTTCATGACAAAGGTACAGACCAAGGTGTCTACTTGGTAAAGTCATTTGCATTCTTCCCTGGCTTTCCTTTTGCATTGCCATGTTGTGGTAACTTGGGTGGAAGGAGATGTAAGCCCACATCCTAATGAATCTGTGTAGGAAATCACCATGTGATTTTGGTTTGCAACTTTTATGTATGGTTGCAAAGTTTTAGTTTTGGAAGAGAAAGAGTGCAAATACTGCAGAGGTGATTCTAGCTGACCCTTGGAGAGAACGCTCTGTTATCTACAATGTGAGTTAACAGGATTCAGTTACTGTCTCTGGGAATCTCCCATGCTCCTAGATCTGTATGGGTGACCCGCAGTCTCTGTATCAGGATTTTCTCCCACTTAAAATAGGATATTTTCCTTGTTTTACATGCTAGTTGGCCCTTTCACTTTATATGAATAATTGAGAAATGAAGATTTTTCTATCAGTGCATTGTTAACTGCCAGATATATGCATTAAATATAAGTGGATTTGACGGTCTGACTCTCCCATCTCCTAAGTGAAAATCCATTGACTGGTGCGTGCCAGCAAAGAAAAAAGCAGATCATGGCCATTTGACATTTTTGTTTCAACCTAATTATTATTATTATGTTTGGTTTTTTTCTTGTAGTACTGGAGTTTGAACTCAGGGCCTCTTGCTTGCTAGGCAGGCACTCTACCTCTTGAGCCACTCTGTCAGCTTTTTTGTGTTGTACATTTTTGAGGTAAGGTCTCATGAACTATTTGCCCAGGGCTGGCTTCGAACTGTAACCCTACTGATCTCTGCCTCCAGAGTAGGTAGGATTACCAGTACCCAACTCAAACCTAACTACTTTTTTGGAAATAAAATCATTACCAGGTCTTAAAGATGTTTTATAAGTCTTGAAATGCTTTCATTTATTAAGACTTTTCTTCCTACACTAGATTTGTGTTAGAGGACACTATAAAAAGAATAAAAATATGATGGCCTTTTCTCTCAAATTTGACTAGTCTTAACTGGCCATACAGGATATATCTCTGGAACAACTAGGAAACAACGATGCAAATTGTTCATTTGTAGCTTGTTGCTGGGCTCATCAACACTAATATGCCTAAAGTCCACGACAAAGAAGATATTAATTAAAAATAAAGACAACAAAAGGCAAATATAGAAATGTTAAACTATTCTTTTGTTCATCATTGATGTGTATTAGTTTAGTGGATTTTAATCCATTAATGCCACATATTTAGAATATGGGTGTAAGTGTTTTTTCTCCACCATAAAAAAAAATGTAAAAGGATGTGGTAGAAAAAAAATTTTAAACCAAGTTTCAATTTTTAAAAAAGATGCAAGTATTAATACTTTGTAATAGCGATAAGTTACCATTTTTACTGAAATTACATCCTCATGGAAAACCAGTGTATAGATTATAACATGTATTTTTGAGAAAGCATCCACATTAATTCTGTTAGGAAATATTATAGATAAGTATTGTACAATAACAAAGCAAAGTGAATTTTCTGAAATCAGAACCTTAGTGTAAGTTTGACACTGGTGTAACTCTGCAGTTGTGCCTTTTGAAAATCTCTAGATCCTAAGAATATTTTAAAAGGAAGGAGAGGTTTCTGTGGAAACTTTGTGAGTTTAAATTGTATAATGGTTCTCTATGGACATGCTGCACATGGATAGTAGGGATCCCTGAACAGCCGTTCCCAGGCTTTTTTCTTGAGACAGAGTCTTTGGTATGTAGCCCAGGCTTAAAACTCTTGAGTAGGACTTTGACTGGTAGTGGGCACAATAGAAAACGCATAGAACTTGAAGCCAGGAAAGCTGGGCCTGGACCCATTCTCCTACCTCCTGATGGAAATCATAGGCAAGTTAGTTTCTCTCAGCCTGTTTTCTAACCTTTGCAGTGATGGGGAAAGCTACAGCATCCACCCTCCCTACCTCAGGCCATTATGAGGACCACATAAGATAATACGTGCATGAGCACTTTGTAAAGTGCTGTATAAATGTTATTTTATAGGGAAAAACAAGTTTGAGGTGGAGATCTTGCTTTAGTAAAGAGTTTTAAATTAAGGCATTTTAAAGGAAGTATAATTTCATGTTTATATCTAAAATAACATGCAAAAAAGTTCATTTTCTTTAAAGTAACTTGATAAAATTTTGGAAGTTTATTTGTAGTATTCCCTCTGAAGTGTTACTGATTACTTCACTAACTAAATTTAAATTTTTCTTGATGTAGTACACATGTACCTACATCATGTAGCTTGATGTATAATATTCTTACTCTCAAGGAGTAGACAATCAAGATAGGAAAATATGTAAAGATTAAAATGTATATAGCAGGGTAATCATGAGAATGAGTTTTTGCTTATCCCTAGCTTTACAAAAAGGCTAACTGGGGAAGGCTTTCCCTCCTAAGAACAGCCATTTCTTACTTTCTCAGGAGAGATTATCTGAGAAATATAAATCTGGGAACATTTTGAAGAAAATGTTCTTTGAGGTTTGATTTAAAGATAAGTAAATTATCTGGATAGTAAGCAGAGATGAATATGGTTTGTGGTTTTAACAGTCTAAACATATGTCATTATGAAATTGGTTCAAGTCTGGAACACTTAAGTGGAATACTAGGCAGCCAATAGTATCAAAACTGTTAGATACAGAAAAACGTGCACAACATAGATTAAGTGAGAAAAAAGTTTACAGAGCATTGTGTTCCCATTTTTATAAATGAGTGCATGAGTATATTTGTATTTTTACACTGGAAAACATTAAGGATAATATACACTAAATTGTGAGTGTATTTTTCTTTTAGCATCACCTAGTTAAGCTGTAATCGTGAGTGATTTGTTTTTTAAAAAGCTGCATTTCATAATGAAAAATAAAGACATGGAGAGAAATTGAGCGAGAGGAGGCATAGGGCAATTGTATGCACAGGGAAAGCGTGAGCAAAGCCCTAGAGTGGTCCAGGAGTAGAAGGAGAAAGTAGAAACAAAATAAAAATGGAAAGAAGGCTAGAAAGACCAGAGTTAATGTGCATTTTTCTGTTCATCCTCTGTCTAAATATTTGGCCTATGAGAAAACTATAAAGAGTTGGTGCTTAAGTTTTTCTAATGAGTCTTCTTCATGAGGCCAAGGCCATGGCCAGGATCTTTGGCACATGACTACCCATTTAAAAAAAATATTTTATGTAATTTATCTCTCTCACTTTCTCCAGTCACCCCTTCTTCCTGTCACAGTGTTCTATCTTAGGAACAGCCCTATTCAAGCAGCTAAGTAGAGTTTTCTGTATTTGATTCTCTGTATTGTTGTGGAATGAAAAGAGATGAGTAGAAGATGGACTTCCATGTCTGTATCTTTAGCACTCATTGGCGACTTACTATGTTTTGGTGATACTCGAAAATCTTATGACCAGGTATGGTTTCTCAGGCTTTTAATCCAAACTTCAAGGGAGTGGGTGGAAATCAGAGGTTCATGGTTCAAGGCCAGCCCAGGCAAAAAAATTCAAGACCCCATCTCAACCAGTGGCTGGTCGAGGTGGCATGTGCTTGTCATCTCAGGTATAGTGGGAAGCACAAATAGGAAGATTACAGTTCAGGCTGGCCTGGGTATAAAGTGAGACCCTATCTCAAAAATACCTAAAGCAAAAAGGGCTAATGATGTGACTCAAGTGGTAAAGCACCTACCTAGCAAGTGAAAGACCCTGAGTTTAACCCCTAGTACTGTCAAAAAAAAAATCATATGTGTTATTTGTTTTTTTTTTTCCTTTTTCTTTTATTATTCATATGTGCATACAAGGCTTGGTTCATTTCTCCCCCCTGCCCCCACCCCCTCCCTTACCACCCACTCTGCCCCCTCCCTCTCCCCCCGCCCCCACAATTCCCAGCAGAAACTATTTTGCCCTTATTTCTAATTTTGTTGTAGAGAGAGTATAAGCAATAACAGGAAGTGACAAGGGTTTTTGCTGGTTGAGATAAGGATAGCTATACAGGGCATTGACTCACATTGATTTCCTGTGTGTGGGTGTTACCTTCTAGGTTAATTCTTTTTGATCTAACCTTTTCTCTAGTACCTGTTCCCCTTTTCCTATTGGCCTCAGTTGCTTTTAAGGTATCTGCTTTAGTTTCTCTGCGTTAAGGGCAGACAAGACGTTTTTTGAGACAAGGTCTTGCTGTGTAGCCCAGGCTGGCCTTGAACTCTTGATCCTTCCACCTCAGCCTCCCAACCTGGGATTCCAGGTGTGTGCCACCACACCAAGCTGTTTGTGTTAATGACATTCTTTCTGCCTATGATTTGATCAAAGAACCTTACAGTCTGTAAAGATTTTGTCTGTCTCTGGCTGACATTTTTCTAATAACATAAGAGTTTGATATTAATATATAATCTACTTAAAAGAGACCACTTTTTTTTTTTTTTTGACATTTCTCTAGTACTTCATTTTGGCCTTCCAATCCTGAAATGTTCCAGGCAAAATGCTTATAGGACTTTGGCATGACTTTTTGCAGGATAGCAGAGGCTTTAAAATCACAGAAGTTTTGCTAAAATTTTTTAAGCTAGCTGTAAAGGATTGTGAGACATGATGTATTTTTGTTGGGGTTGCACATTTGATTATCAGTATGTTTTAGTAACAGGATTTTATTTTTGGAGGTAGTGGAATTTGAACCCAGAGCCTTGAGCTTGTTAAGCAGATGCTGTACTACTTGGACCATATTCCCTAACCCTATCAGTATGTTTCAATATATTTGAAAGATGTTGTGTATCCTTTTTAAGCAGTACCTGTCATTGGTGAACCGAGCTTTTCTTTTTATCTCTTCTACTAGGTTTCAGCATTAAAAACAATGGCCAGTCAGGGAGGCCCCAAGTATACCCTTTCCCAGCAGCCTTGGGCACAACCAGGTATTCACATTTTACTCTTTTGCATTTCTTTTTTAGGATGTTATTAATTTGCATTATATAGTCCTTGCTTCAACAGCTCGGGATTGATTTTCCTACTCACCCTGGAATACTAGATCTGAATTAATTCGAGATTCAGTTTGCAGCTGACAGGTCTTAATTGGTCAGCACTGCTTGTATCTTAACAAGCATTCCAAGGAAGGAAGAATTAAAAAATTTTTGCTTAGTTAAAAATAAAATGTGGGTTAGATGGAAACATGTTTGCATTGGCTGACTTCTGCATACCCACTATTCACTGAGTTAGAACTTTGTGAAAATAATTTGACAGAAAGAAATTTATGGAGAGAGTATACCTATTTTCAAGTATATGGAGAAGTGTTGCGCCACTATTTTATTCCACGTTTTCTCTAAGTTCCTCTTCTGCTGACATCTTAGGGTGTTCAAAAAATTGTGGTGTCAGTTGGGATTTAACAGATAATATCATCGCCTGGTTTGTAGACATATTTGAGATGTTTCCAGTCGTACTCTTTCCTAAATGTAAATTGTTTTGTGCTAGAGGCTTTTGTTTGTTTTGATGGGGGTCTGTTCTTCAGCATTAGATGTTAGACACATATTCCTGCCTAACTTTTCTGGGTTATTTTTGGTTTAAGTAGCCATTAAACCAGAATAAATCATTTTGTGAAATTGATAGCTCTGGCCATCCCCTGACCCATATTTTGAAATTTAAAAAGAACAAAATGGTGAAAGAACAGTGGGGTGTTTTGTTTTTTCTTTTCCTTTCCTTTTTTTTTTTTGAGGCAGGATCTTGCTATGTAGCCCAAGCTGGCTTTGAACTATGAATCCTCCTGCTTCAGCCACTTAAGTGCTGGGATTATAGGTGTGTACCACCAATTTGGCTTAAGAACAGTGTTTTAATTATGGATAAGCTGTGTCCCAAGTTGGAAGGTCCTTTTTTGCTCATAGTGAGACAGAATCAAAGTGTGATTCTATGGAAACTGGCTGGTGCAGTAAGTGGTGGCTTAGGTGGAGCCTTTAATGCGATTGGTTTTCCATGTGGAAAGAATGGTCTAACTTGTAGATACTTATTTCCTTGGGGAAAAAGGATTGAAGCTGTTCTAAGCCTCCAGCATTTTCAGTTATGAATGCCTCTGGTTAGTTTGAAGTTGAACTGTAAATAGTAGCTGTGCGTCTCTTAAGGAAGATGTGTAAATGTAGAGTATTTTCTGTTGTCTTTGCAAGGAAGACAGAAGTTTATTTTGAAAGTTCCCTGTGCACACTTTGAGGTGATAACACAGGCTTGCATTGAATTGTTTTATTGCAGATAAAGTTGTGACATGCTTTTAGCCTTCTGTGTCAGAGATAGTGAATATTCTACCCTCTTTATTATTTTAAACATTTGAATTATGTACAAGATTGAAATATTTGATATTTTTAAAAGCAGCACACTGATGAGTAGCCTGTTCTGTCAGGAGACAGAAAAGTCAGATTCTTTTGCTGACACTTCTGGAAATTCTAGTCATAGGCTGCTGCCATGTTAACCACCTATTCTGTTTCCTCACAATCAGTTCCTAATCCAGCGTTAGAGGAATTCTCATGATTTTTGGATTTATTGGGGCCTTCAGCGTAAGGTTCTGTCGCTTACAGGACCTGATTTGTATTTTGAGTGTTTATGTAAATGAAACTCTTAGGTACAATAAAGCTTTCTTAAAATAGATAAACCAGCAAACAGGCATAGGCGTATTTCGTACAGCTGAGCTCAGGACATGGTGCGTAATTGATGTATTGTTGTTTTCCTTGTGGAAAGATCCTTTCTCTCAGAATAAGGGCTGTCATCTTTGGAAGTGGAGTCGTAAAAGAATTCACAGCGTGAGGAATATTGTGTGCTTCAGCATTACTCAAATTATTGTTAGTAAAGCAGGAGTAGATAAAAGAAAACATGGCAAAAAGACAGATTGGAATGGGACCTGCTGTTTTGTTATTTAACCCATTTGGTTTGTTTCCGAGTGATCTCAGTGAATGTAACAATGCCATTCAATATATCTTGTAGTTGTATCTTCTGTTCGTTTAGCCACAATGGACTTAGGGAGTTGATTTTTCGTGATCTGTAATTCATGAGGTCTATACTTCAATGTCAGAGATTTATGGACCTCTTGGCAAGGGAGAACAATTTAGGAACAGGCTTGGGTCCCACTGCTCTATGCCAGGCTCCCACTGCTCTATGCCAGGCTTACTGATTCATGAGACTTGGGGATAGTATCATGATAAGCGAATTCCAAGACAGTGAGTTAGGATGCTAGTTTGTTAATTTATTCTAAGGAATATATCTTTACAGGAATCAGTGGGTATTGTATTCACTAGCTCCTGCACCCACTTTTTGGTTATCAAGAGCTGTGAAATCTGATTTAGTGATCCCTGAAGTGTGTTAATGATGGTGGAACCAGAACCTAGAGAGTAAGTGTCTTAAAGGGAGCTTTCATTTATTTAGTGAAAAGTAAGAAATTCCTGAAGTATTTTTTCTTCAGAGCATTAGAATGTTCTTACCTTATTTCATCATACCCTCCTCAAAATTTTTTAACATGTATAAAATTTGAACTATGAAAAGGTATAAAATTTAAAATTATTATATTCTCTACCTGCAAACTAGTCCTCCTCTCAAAGATAACCACTATTATAGTTTCTTTCTTGAAGTTTTTTATGTGTATGCTAACAAGTTACTCCAGTGAGATTGTACAGTCTATCTTGCCCATGTCACTTCCTGTGTATCTTGCAGTCCTTTCTGTACCAGTGTATTCAGCTCTATCCATTCTGCTTAATGGATGCATAGAAAATGCTACATGGCATTATTTCTTTAGGAATTTTGTTAATGGATATTTAAAATATTTTCAGTTTGTTTTTTCAATATACTCCTTTTAATAAGTGTCTCTTTCCACAGTTATGTTGGTATTTTTTGAGTATTTAAATAGGATAATTTTTAGCTGTCAATATGTTAAGTGAAAGAGTATGTGTGCTTTCAGTTTTGCTAGCTGTTGCCTAATACCCCTCCCATCAGCAGCTGATGAAGGTACCTTGTCCCTTAGTAGCCATTCGGGGTAGGTTCCAGGATCCCCCAAAGATGCCAAAATGTACAGATGTCAGGTCTCTCAAATAAAATAGTGTATTTAAAAAAAAACACAAAAAAACCTGTGGACATCCTCTTGCATGCTTTCATCAGCTCCAGATTACTTATAATAACTAATACAATATAAATGCTATATATCTTTTTAGCACAGATGCAGTTTTTTCCTGGATATTTTTGATTCACAGTTGGTTGAATCCATAAATATGAAATCTGAGACTGTGGAGGGCCAGTGCCTATTTTCTCACACCCTGGTCAAACATGGATCTTCACCATCTTTTTGCCAGTTTTTGGTCAATCTGTAAATATCTCACTGCTTTTATTTACATTTCTTTAATTTTGAGCGAGGTTGAGCATCTTTGAAATTATCTTTTCCTTTGTAGCTGTTATAGAGATGATTGCTCTTCCTTTCCATGTTTCTCCTGCAGATACTACACCTGGGCTACATAGTTATTTTAAAGACTTCTGGAATTCTCTTACTTGTCCATAATACAGTATAAAAATGTAAGCATTAGATATTTACTTCCCCTTGGCAAGCTGGAAGACTTGCTGAATGTTATTCTTAGAAGGACAAGAGATAGCAGATAAGTCAGAAAAAACAGGCAAGCTGTGACCCAAGCAAGCTGGTAGAGAGCACCTCTGTGAGTCTGTTCTGCAGATGGAGAAGCTCATTTCTTATGAAGTAATTATTACTGGTGTCTCTAAAAGCAACTTCTTTTCAACCTTACGTGTTATCTCCACATTGCAAAGACACTATTTTGACCCTGTGAATGTCCTGGAGCATGCTGGGGGAGTTCTTTTGCTGCCGAGCCCTGTTTATAGGACATATGATTAAGCTGGATAAATAAGCAAGAAACATGAAAGAAATTCTTTGAGGGACATAAAGAGGTTTCTCTGTCTTTATTCACCTTTATTCTTGTCTGTGGTGCTAACAAGGGTACTTTCCTTTGCAGCAAAGGTCGGTGACCTCGCAGCAACTGCCTATAAGACAGTGAAAGCAAAGCTGCCGCTGACATTGAGGAGCATGTCGCTGTACCTGTCCAATAGGGATACGGAATTCATCTTGTTTAAGCCTGTTAGGGTGAGTGCACCATTATTTACCTGGATGCTGGCCAGTGACTTCAAGTGTGCTTCTCTCACCTGCCACTTTTCTCTTCCTCCAGACATTTAAAACGAACAAACAAATAAAAAAAAGTTGATGTACTAATCTAAAGATGTAGTGTAATAATCACTAGGACTCTTGAAAGATTTCAGTGCCTAATCTGTCTGATTAAATCTTTTATCCTCACATTGTCGTAAGTTTTTTTTTAATGCTAACTTTGAAAGTAGAAATTAATAAACAAAAAATCAGACCCTTATTTGGCATGTAGCTCATATTTAGAGAACTGCATTTCAGGAATTATGCCCCATTTTCCTAGTAAGTACTGGAAATAAATGGCTCACAGCACCCACTGAGGGATTAAGTGTCAGAGCAAATTGAAGACTCATAAACTTCCATTTCATGTTAAGCTCACATCTTTACCCAAGGCATTGGTTGATTCTTAAAGTACACTTTATATGTCTTGAAACTTTATTATCTTTTGTGTAAGAAATTGCTCCAGACTCTTGTTATTTTTTGGGGGCACAGGGGCCGCCAGAGTTTAGTTTTTCAAGGAAACATTATCTGATAAATCTTCATCAGCCGTGACAGCAAATGATGTCTTTGGCAATCTCATAAAAAACACATTTCTTCCATGAATTGTGGCAAAAATCATGACAACCAAACACTCTTAGTGCTTCATGTTTAATATGTGTGCCTGTTTTTTTTGACTTACCTGCTATGTCTTGTCCTTCTTTCTAAGAATAACATTCAGCAAGTCTTCCAGAAGTTCCATGTGCTGTTAAAGGAAGAGTTCAGCGCTGAAGACATCAAGATCATTGCTTGCCCTTCCATGGAGCAGGTAATCCAGACCTGATGGTCATTGCTACTTTTAGGCCCTCTTGGTGGTTTTACTTAAGTATATAATGTTTGAGCAAGCATGCTTTTAGTTTAAATTTAAAAACTTGTACTTTATTTTATTTGGATGATCAAGAATTCAAATTTTGAATTGCTGTCTCCAGCTTTAGGGGATGGTTTTAGAGTTTTCAGTTGTATTTTAGTCCTTAATGTAGTGAAAATTGCTGTGTTTAAGATGAATGACCTTTTTGTGAAAGACTTAAATCCTGGCAATTTGCTTGCTGAATCATTTTGTTTGAAATATGCATAATGATATGCAAATTTCAGATGAGAAAAATGAAAGCTATTTTAGGGATTAGAATATATGCTAGAAGTGTTTCATTTTTTTTTCCTTTGTAAATTAAAAAAATTGAGTATAAAGCCCAGTTTTTGTTAGCTCTCATTCATTATTCACTTCAGTCAGCAAATTCTTATTGACTACCTGTTACATATTAGGAGTAGCCTGTGCTTTGGACAATGTTTTAGTTCTGCCTTAAGTTTAGTGTGGTTTAAAAATTTGCTATGTGGTGAGGACAAGAGAATTTCAGATGGAGAGATAAGTTTGGGAGAGTCTAATTGCAGTGAGTAGAGATTGGCAAGAAGGGAACTTGGGGCAGTGTGAGTCAGTCTTTGTTTGAAGATTTTTTACTACGATGGGGTGGAGAAGTGGGGGTCTTTTGTTGAGATGATGCTATGAAATTCGATCTTTTAAAGTTCAGTAGTTTTTAGTATATTCACAAAATTGTACAACCATCACCACTCTCATTCTAGAACATTTTTGTCACTCCCAAAAGACACTTCTGATCTATTAGAAGGTTGTCTGTTCTTTCTCTTCCTACCAATTTCCTTTGTCTCTGTGGATTTGCTTTTTTGGGTATTATATTAAATGGCACGATACAATGTATAGCCTTTCTTCACTTGCATCTTTCACTTAGCTTGTTTTCAAGGCTCATCTGTGTTGTAGCATGTGCCAGAACTTCATTCTTTTTTATTGCTGTATATGTTCCTTTGCATGGATAGATAGGGGGTCATATTTTAAAAGGATACCTAGTTCTAGGGTTGTATAGTCAAATGCTTTTTTTGGGTGGGAGGTGGTGCTTAGGTTTGAACTCAGGGCCTCATGTTTGCTAGGTAAGCACTCTACCACTTGAGCCATGCCCCAAGTCTTTTTTGCTTTAGTTATTTTTTGAATAGGGTCTTATGTTTTTGCCCAGGCCAGCCTGGACCATGATCCTTCTATTTGCCTTCCTGCATAGCTGGGATTACAGGTGCATACCACTATGCCTAGCTTATTAGCTGAGATTGGATCTCAGTAACTTTACCTAAGCTGGCCTCAAATTACCAGCCTCCCAACCTCCATCTCCCAAGCAGTCAAAAATACTTTTTATGAGTCATTTGGAGTGACTGTTTTCTGTGTAATGTTACACCACTAACTTTTTTTGTGTGTGTGGCACTGGAGTTTGAACTCAGGTCCTCATGCTTGCTAGGCAGATGTTCCTACAGCTTGAGCCACTCTGCCAGCCCACCACTAACTTAATAGTTAGGCTTGCTTTCAATATTTAGAAAATATCCTATTTTGACTTAATACTGCTTTTTAATTACATAAAATATTTATGTGGTTCTCAAGTAAGAATTATAGAACAAGGTGAGTTTGTAGAAGTCTTGCTTCTCTTTCCAGTCCCCGCCAATCTTTCCCCTTCTTCCCCTATAGATTACTATTTTTATTACTTACTGAATTATCCTTCCATTGCTGCTGCTGTTAAAGATAGGGGTACATATTTGCATGTTCAGAGGGCAGATCCAGAGAGGGGAAATACCTTGAGTACAGGATGTGGGATGGAATCTCACGCATAGTTGGGTAGAGCCTTTGGTAGGCATGTAGAGTTTTGGTCATGCTGATAGAAGTCCAAGTGGATGGGCACAGATGGGGAGTTGATGGAAGCACTCAGCTCATCTGAGGGCATTTGTTTATGAGTGAAGTAAGCAAATTCAACACCAAGAGTGAGGAGCGAGAGGAAGTTTTAAATCTGTTTATTTTATTGTAATTTTGAATTTGCAGAAAAGATGCAGGAACAGTGTAAGGAGCTCCCATATATCCTTCACCCAGTTTACTATTTGCCCTGTTTGTTTTCTCCCCTCTCTCCCTGCGGCCTCTCTTTTTAAGTCACTTGAGAGGAAGTTGGGAGACACTGCTCCATCACTTCTGAATACTTCGGAGTATATTTCCTGAGAGGGAAGGAAATTCCCATATCCTACTCCTGCTCCTGTACAGTTATCAAAGCTGGAAATTTAACACTGATACTACTTACTATCTGAACCACAGCTTGTACTCAAATTCACCGGTATCCTAATAACCTCCTTTATAGATATTTCCCCCAGCTCAGTCCAGTCTCAGATCATGCACTACTGTCAGGAGTCACCTCTTTAGTTTCCTTCAACTTGGAGTACTTCTCCAGCCTTTCTTGGTCTCCACAGGCTGTTTATTTCGTAGACTGTTCCATGATTTGATATTATTTCTTTTTGTACCCTTCTCCTACAGCATGTATTTATATCAGAGATGAGGGTGATGATCGTGGCTATACTGTGGAGAGGTTCCTGGCCAGGTCCACTTTCCTCCAGGTCTCCCTGGGCTGGGTGACAGATGGTGCACACAGGCTGCCACTCCCCTCCTGTCACCATGGGAACCTGGCTCTGGTTTCGTGGCCCTCCATTATTGAGTGGTCATGTTGCTCCTGCACTCATCAGTTAGTGTGTCAGCTGAAATTTAATCTTTCTGCCTGTTCTTTGCATTTTAAAAGCCATTTAAAGAATTCAGTTTATATAGTTCTTTCCAAAACACATTCTGCATAGAAAAAAGTGCCTGCAATTTTATGGATGTGTTTCTATCATTTGTAAGTGTCTGTGTAGTGTTTTGCCATCATCATCCCTGTACTTGAAATGGCCTGAGGGTCTGGATTCAGTGATGGAGGGTAGCTCCTCTCAGAGTTCAGTGGCTGTAAAAATCTCACACTTCCCAGCACTTGCGAGGCTGAGGCAAGAGGATCATGGGTTTGAGGTCATTTGGGCCACATAGCGAGACCCCGTCTCAAAAAGAAAAAAAATCTTGGTCTTTTTCTCTTCTTCATGTTTTTTTGTGGCTCTAGACAACTCCTGAGGTGGTATTCCACAGCAGAACTAATGCAGCCCTTCTTGTTGCTTTTTAGCTGAACTTCCTGTTGTCGGACTCTAATTAAGCAGGCCAGTCGGGCTGGGCTGTGTGTGTTGGCAGTCTGTCCCACAAGCGCAGGCTGAGGAGTTTTGCAGCCTACAGGATGCTGAGGAACCCTACGTGGGAATGTACCCAAGTACCACATTGGCGTGCTGCTCAGTGCTGCCTACAGAAGGAAACGGGAGCAAAGCGAAAAGATTGGCGTTTCCCTTTTAAACACCACAATGCCAAAGACAAATTATTGAGCAGCAATAACTGCCTTACTTAAATGGTCACTGTTGAGAGGTGGCCAAGAGGGCTCACAGTGAAATGTTTCTTCACAGAAGTTGTGCAATAAAATAGGTTACAATAAGTAGTGCAAAGAACTTTATGGAAATTGAGCTGACTAGAAAGCTGCTAAGGGTAAGGTTTGCTAAAGCGTGAAACACTGCAACACTTTCAACCACCAAGCATTCCACAGTGACTATTTGTTTACTTCCAGAAATCTTATTTCTGTACTCTTTAATGTTTCTTCCATCATTTTGAAGTTTAGTTGGGAGTGGATTGTTTGCTTCTGAGAGTGCATCTTGCTTTCCTGGGAATTCAGGTGTCATCTTTCTCTGGATTTGATGTGAGGCCTTGTGTAAGTCCCCAACACTTGTGCTCTTTGAACTGCTAGGGTGCCTGACATAGATAGGTGTGGTCTTAAATGTGGAGCTCTACAGTGCAGTAGTGAGTGGGTAAGAGCAGGAGTGACCAATTAAGGTATCTTAAATCTGGCCCAGCAAGGAGAGAAGGAAGCCTGATGAGAGGCAGTCTCTCTCCTCTGATGAGTGAAGCCTGGTTACTAGCCTTCTGCACGCTGCCTTCGCTGCAGCCATTCTTTGAAAAGTGAGCACTTTCATGTGTCTCTCTGATTGCTGGTGCTGTGCTGTGTGCCAGCTTTGGAACCTCTGGCCCTGCCACTACAGAACACATTTCACCCACCAACAGGAGGATGACAAGTACTGCTCACACCATATCAGGGATCACAAATTGCAAATGTCTGTGAATTTTCCTACAAATTCCTGTTAATTTGGAACTGAATAGGTTTTTGCCTCTGTTACAGTAAATGTAGCCTACTTTTTGGTTCAGAAAGACTTCTTTCTGAATTCTGAGTTATTCAAACCCTGCTGTGGAGGTGGGACACTGACGAGGGATCTGGAATGGAGCCAGCGACCTAATGGTGCAGGCAGTGTGACTGTACAGAGGTTCAGCACTTTTCACGCACTTAGTGCGGGCTCTCACACAGTGTGTGTGGGTCACCTGTCCAGTGCCTGACATTTGGTAACGGCACTTGGTCTTCAGCCCAGTTTAAGTTGGTGGTGGACATTCTTTGATGGAGCTTATCACTGTATATTTTGGAGAAGGGTGTAAAGTGAAAGAGGGTTCATATTCTCTTTGTCATAAAATGAATGAATTAGGAAGATTGTATTTCCTTCCACTTACTGTTTTAAATAAAAGTTTAATGAAACTGTAAAATACACACCTTTGTATATTATGTGTACATTTGGTCTTTAAATAGCCTTTCCAGAGAAATGGGGGCATGATTTTTGTACAGTATTGTGACTGATCAGTGTGATGTACAGAGCAGTGCACGCTCTTCAGGATAAGAGTTTCAGAAACACTCGAGTACCTTATAAAGTTCTGGGTAGCCGATAGTGATTCAGCTTGTTTGCTGAATGAATATTTGTTTAAATCTGTACAGTTTCAAGTGCTTACTTATACAAGAGTGTACATACTTTGAAATAATTAATTTAAAATGCTTTATATTATTTGGCTAGAAATTGCTGTTTTTAATAAATGAATTTTTTAAAAAATAAAGATTTTTGCTTCCTACTTTGTCCTGGAATTTTTTTAAAATTTTTTAATTGAAATTTTTATTGAGATAAGTTCTAGTCACAAGTAATTGTGAGAAATAATACAGAGAGAGGTCTGTGTGCCCTTTGTCCAGCTCTGCCCAGTGGAAACATGTCGTAAACTTCACTGCAAGTAGTATAGCCAGGTTACTAGCACTGATACACCAGCAGCCCTACTCAGAGTCCCTCGCTTTTACTGGTCCTGTGTGGATTCCTCTGATAAGGTAGTTATTATAAAATGACATTTTTAAAGCATGTTTTTGGTGTTTTTTGGGAGTACTGGGGTTTGAGCTCAGAGCCTCAGACTTGCTTTCCACCAGCCCCTTAAGCATCTTTATGCTTCATTAGTTAAAAGATATACTAGTCAGCTTTCTGTTACTATAACAGATAGCTGGGATAAATCAACATATAAAGACAGAAGGCTTATTTTGACTCATAGTTTTGGAAGTTCTAGTATTGGTCCTGTTTTCTTTATGCTTGTGGTGAGGGAGAACATGATGGCAGGAGAGTGTGGTAGAGCTAAGCTGCTCACCTTGTGGCCCTTCCCAAGGGCTGGGTCTAGGGCACTTCTCTAGTGACCAGACCTCCCAATAATGGTGGCCTAGAGAACAAGACTTTGACCCATGGGCCATTGGGTCAAATTGTCCAGAGACAATTTGATTTTTTCTTTGTTTGCAGAACTGCCAATCTGAGTACTGTCAGCATGGATGATTATATTGAAATTTAGTAGCTATAAAAACAAGTTTGTATTTTTTCCCTGGTTTAACAACCTCTCATCTTTAAATTCTTTCCTTTACCTTATAAGTAAGATAGAACAATCACCTAAGTTCCTGCAAAAGAGCTGTTGGTTAAAGGAACTTGGTGATGTTGGGAAAGCCCACGTCTCAGGAAAGGGGATTTTATTGCTTCCTCTCTGGAGCACTTTCTTCTTCTTCGTTTTTTTTTTTTTTCAGTGCTGGAAATCGAGCCCGGGGCTTTGCACATACTAGGCAACCGCTCTACCACTGAGCTACATTCCCAGCCCCTAGCACACTTTCTTTTGCTAACTTGCCCATTTTTTTTTTTTTTGTGGCACTGGGGACTGAACCCAGGACCTTGTGTTTGCTAGGTAAGCGCTGTACCACTTGAGTACCCCCTCCTTTTCTTTGAGACAGGGTCTTGCTATGTAGTCCAGGGTGGTCTTGAACTCATGATCCTCCTGCCTCTGCCTCCCAGTACTGGGATTACAGGCATGTGCCTCCGTGCCCAGCTTTAACTCTTCTTTTCTTCCCCAGTATGAACCCTCTTGAAAAGCAACTGCTGGAAACTTGTCCAGTATCACCCATTTGAATAGTCATACATACATATTTTCATATATGCTCATTATTAAACATTTCTGTAGTGTCTGAATTTTAATGCAAAATATAATTTCCTCTTCCAGAAATGAGCCCCAAAAGTAAGCTGTTGTTAAATGTTTGGCATATAAATTCCAACTTTTTTTCTATGGATGTTCTAAAGTAAGTTGGGCATTTTTTTTTAGAGTGTTACCGGGGTTTGAACTTGGAGCCTCACACTTGCCAGGCAGGTGCTCTACTACTTGAGCTGCACTCCTAGCCTTCTTGTACACTTTTAATGAAATTAAATGGGTCTTAGTTATCAGTATATATGAGCAGACATTTTGCTAAATTATCTGTAGTCATTGAAACATTTTGTCCCAAAACTTCAGCATTCATCTCTAAAGAATATTCTGTTGCATAATCCTAATACAATTACCATACCTAAAAAGTGGAGTATTGAATATGTAGTCCATATTTTAATTTTCTCAACTAGCCCCCCAAATGTCTTATAGCTTGTTTTTAAAGTCCAAGTTCATATGTTTTACTTGGTTACATCCTTCTAATCCATTTTAATTTTAACCACTCTTATGGTTTTTGCTTTTTTCTAAGATACTGGCTTTTATTTTTCTAAATGACTTTTTAAAAAAGAGTCTAGCTATCTTACACATGAACTGTGGTCTCAATGTTCCTGAGTTTTCCCATTAGTAAATTTAAACTACTCTAAATTGCAAGATATACATTGTCTTCAAATACGTGGGACATTTGCCAAGACGTGCTGGCCAGTGGTGTCAACAAGTGGTCTTCTCTTCACGCCCCTCAGCTCCACGTGGCCACGTCTGGAGACATTTAGGTTGTCTTGACTAGTGTGCACATGTGTAGGGGTTGGTATTACTGGCTCTAGTGGGTAGAGACCAGAGATGCTGAACATCCACAGTGCCAGGATGGCTCCAAAAGGAATTACCCAGCCCATGATGTCAACAGTGCCAGGGCTACAAAACTTGCTAGGGATAGCACTTACTGCTCCCTCACCTGGTCTAGTTGTCCTCCCACCTGCCACATGATCCATTTTGCTTGATGGTGACTTCCCTGATCCTCACACCCCACCCAGCTGGTAGGTGTTCATAGCATTTGTTGAATGACTTGCCTGTCATACAGCCTTCCCGACCCTATCCCATCACTATAAAGCCCCACCTGTTCTCCATCTCAAATAGCTCTGATCCCTTCCCTTTTATTTCCAGTGCCATTCTCCTGGGGCATTTTTAATATTCTTTGCTGGAAATACTGAACCATTTATTTCAGAGTCTGGTCCTTAAACACCTCTCCTCTGCCTGCTCCTGGAAAAGAAGGCCTTGAACCAATCATGCAGGGCTCAAGCCCTGTGTCTCCATGCTCTTCTTCTACTCAGTCCTCCAGTACAAGCAACAGAAGACACATCACTGTGTGATGTGAGCAGGAAAGGACTTTATTGGAAGGACGGAAAAGGACTTACAGTCCCTCAAGAAACAGCAGAGGCTGGAGAATCAGAGGGCTAAGAACAGGAAGCATCACAAATGGATTGTAGCACTGTTGTAGCAGGGCTTGGGTATCTCTGTGACTGGTTTTTCAGGGTGTGTGTGTGTGTGTGTGTGTGTGTGTATGTGTGTCTCCCCAGGTCTCCACTGAGTACAGGAGTGGACGAGGAGTCTCTTCTGCATGCTAGTTATAAATGCAGTGCCTCAGCTCCAAGTCATCCTTTTGCCCAGCCTTGAGGTAGTGGAGCTGGACCTTGAAACATTTTCTTTCACTAGCTGCTGCAGTGTTAGGCTTTGTGGGACACTGGGATACACTGGGAGACATAGGAAAGGATGACTTTTTCTGGTACCTGTGACTATCAGCAGAAGGAAGATCTCAAGACACTCACTCCCCAGTGAGTCTTTCAGGGAGGCCCATCAAGAAGCAAAATAACGAAAAGAGAAGTAGAGAGAGCCCTACTGTGTGCTTGCTGCTCCTTTTATTAGAGTTCTCTTTTACCCCTTAATTATTAACTTGTTAATAACCTACGTTACAGTTCCCTTGTTCTAATAACTAATGTGGTTTCTGACTAGACCCTGACCAATACAACTAAATTCTTTTAGTTTCTGCAGTTGGAGGCAGGTTACTTACTGCCTCCAATCAGTTAAGAAAATGGGGGTACTAGATAGCTAAAAAATGACACGGTCCAACATGCCTCCAGATGCAATACCCTTAAGTGTCTTTCCAATATGTCTGGCTCTGGGTACCTTTGCACACCACCATTGTCTTGCTCTGAAACTCCCAGCATGCCCTGTGCCCCCAGCTCCTCTTTATTCTGCATCTCAGTTCTGAAAGAGACTCCCTGTGACCCCTCTGCTAAACCTCAGGTTTGCCTCCACTGTTTTCCTTCATAAACCAGTTTCATTGCTTTGCCATTGCTTGCTTCTCTGTTTCTGCATTCTACAATCCAGCCTGCTTTTTTCTCCTTTCTCCTTTGTCTCCTCAGTACATGGTGGGTGCTGGATGTCTATTTGTTGCGTGGCCTGACACCCTGCTGAGGGCATTGAATGAGGCTTCATTTACCTCCGGGCATTTAGTTACCAATCAATTACCTTCCAGAAAATCCTCATGTGTCACCTACCAGGTTAGTATTGATAAACAGTCCAACCTAGTTTGTTTTTATTTCTAGAAGTGCCTTTTCCTGCTAAGTCATTGAAAATGAAATGATAATGAGTCAAAAGGATTTGTCCTCGTCAGGAAAGTGAGGGCTTGGGAGGTGTCAGGGATGTGAGTCAGAGAGGGTGGTATGACGTGAATTGTGTCCCCATCAAAATTCACACATTGAAGTCCTAAGCCCTGGTATATCAGAATGGGACCTTATTGGAAATAGGGTCTTTGAGGATGTGATTAGTTACAATGAGTTCATAGTGGAGTGGAGTGGGTGCTGTTCCATTATGACTGGCAGTCTTGTGAAAGAGGAAGTTTGAGGGAATTTCACACATACAACACACACACACACACACACACACACACACACACACACACACACACACACACACAAAGCAAGTGGAGAATGGAGTGATGCTGCCATGAACCAGGGAACTTCTGGAAGCTGGAGAAAGGCCAGGAATAGATTCTTCCCCAGCACCTCCAGAGGGAGCACAGCCCTGCCCACACTTTGATCTTGGACTTCTCCTATCTAGAACTGTTTGTCATTCAATTTTTGGTTCTTCATCATAACAACCTTAAAAAACTAACACAGAGGTGAGTTTTACAGTTCCTGGCCATCGAGTGGCCACGTTTGTTATTTCCTTTCCAGTCTGAGGAGCCATGTGTATTGTGTTATTCTGTCTAGCCTTTGGTAACTGGCTCTGAGCAGCAATTACAATAGATGCCGGGAATCCATATTTCTATATAAAATCTTAACTTTTGAAATGTTGGCAACAAAACCTTTTAAATCGTGCTGGCCAAACAAAAATGCCTCTGTGAGGCCAGCTGTAATTAATTATTGACAGAAGAATGATTTCAGAAGTATTACAAAAAGACGAATATCATGGAGAAGAAATTGAGTGATAACGCTAAGAGCCAAGGCTTATAACCACTCCTTGAGGGAATTTCACACATACAACACACACACATCACACACACACACACACACACACACACACAACACACAAACAAAGCAAGTGGAGAATGGAGTGATGCTGCCATGAACCAGGGAACTTCTGGAAGCTTGGAGAAAGGCCAGGAATAGATTCTTCCCCAGCACCTCCAGAGGGAGCACAAGCCCTGCCCCACACTTTGATCTGGACTTCCCCGTATCTAGAACTGTTTGTCATTCAATTTTTGGTTCTTCATCATAACAACCTTAAAAAACTAACACAGAGGTGAGTTTTACAGTTCCTGGCCATCGAGTGGCCACGTTTGTTATTTCCTTTCCAGTCTGAGGAGCCATGTGTATGTGTTATTCTGTTAGGCCTTTGGTACTGCTCTGAGCAGCAATACAATAGATGCCGGGAATCCATATTTCTATATAAAATCTTAACTTTAAATGAATTTCACAGCAGTAATTATTTCAGAAGAACGAATATCAAAAGACGAATATCATGGAGAAGAAATTGAGTGATAACGCTAAGAGCCAAGGCTTATTAACCACTGCTCTGAATGCTTTGCCCACGTTTTCTTGTTTAACCCTTACTACAATTTGTTTCTAAATTGTCCTCAGATACAGAGAAGAAAATGAATCACAGAAGGCTCACTACCTTGCCCAAGGTCACTCAGCTAGTAAGAGGCAGTGCCAAGACCCAAACTCAAGTCTGTCTGATTTCAGGGCACGAGAGCCTTTCATTCCATAGCAGGTATCTTCCTATCCTGGTATGTGGTGAGAAGACTGAAGAGGGTGGGTGGTTGGTGAAGCACTGGGGTTGGGTCTGAGAGATAGCTGCAGGCTTGGATGACTTGTTGGGAACTGAGATCTACTAAGGATGTTCTATTTTTAAGTGTGTTTGTTAGCTTTTTGTTGCTGTGATAAATGCCTGAGGAAAAATTTATAATGCCTCACAGTTTTAGACTCTGGTTGCTTGACTCCATCTCTTTGGACCTTGGTGGGCAGAATATCATGATGGAGAGTGCATGGTGGAGCAAAGCCACTCACCTCGTGGCAGCCCAGAAGCAGAGGTGGGGGGAGGGGGTGCTGGAGACCCACTATTCCCCTTTCAAGGGTACATCCCTAATGAACTCACTTCCTCCCGTTAGTTTCCTTCCATCTCCTAAAGTTTCCATCACCTCCCACTAGTGCCACAGGCTGGCAACCAAGCCTTCAACATGTGGTCTTCGGCGGACATTTACGATCCAACGATAACAGTAAGGAAAAGGAGTGTTTTGCACATATTGCATAGATGTAGAACGAACCAGGCACTAACACCTTGATATTGGGGTGTAAAGGGGTGTGACTCCAGTAGGGAAGTGTGTCATTTACAGCTCATTACCTTGCAACAAAGTGTGTGTTTTAGCCAGTGACACTGCTCTAGGCAGGAGCAGGTGGACTCCTGGAGGCTGGTGTGTGATTTGTGCAGTTAGCAGCAGCTTGGTGGCTGGGACTGGCCTCCAGAGCTCCCTGGGGAGGGGAGAGTGGAGTGGGAAGTATAAGGGCAGTAGCTTGTGGGGTGGTCTTGAGCCTTTGAGATACCTTGGGGTTGGGAGTCATGGAAAAACAAAACAAAACAAAATAATCCATGTGTCACTGGAATGATGTCACTTTGTAGCCAGGTAGACTTCACTGCCACTTATTAACATGATCCTGGGTAAGTCATCGAACCTCTCTGAGCTCCAGTGTCCTTGAGAAAAAATGCTATCTGTTTAGAACTTGTGCAGTGCTTAGCACAGGCCTGCCTGGTCCGTGGTCTGTGCTTGGGTGATGGCAATGAGTGTCGTGGTGAGAAAGGCCTGAGAAAGCCAGTGGAGCTGTTCTTGTAAGCCAAGGGAAATGCACACCCCCAGCCTTACCTAAGAGGTGTGCATTTGACAAATACCCGCCAGGAGTCACCCAGGTGTGAAAGAAGGGACCAAGCTAACAGTATTGGCATGTCACTCACCCAGTGGTTTCTACTGGCCATACTCTGCTCCAGAGATGCATACACTTATCCAAAACTCCCAGCCCTGTCATGGAAGGTACTGTTCTAGGCCCATTTTACAGATGTAGAAACTGAGGCATAGAGCTGCTTATCCAAGGGCACAAGGCCTACAAAGGGCAGAGAGAGCCAGTCTGTGTCCCCAGTGAAGGCAGGTACTGAAAGCTGAAAAAACTTTAGCACAGCAGTGACCAGGAACAGCAAGCAGACCAGCTATGGATGTGAATTACTTACTGAAATGACAATGTACCTCCAAAACTGTTAGGGCGGGGCTGGCCACCAACTCCTCTGTGCCTGGCCACAGATTCTGTCAGCCTAGAAAAACTTGCTTTTTTTTTTTTTTTTTTTCATCCAAGGAGCTTGGACATATCCAAAATCACAAACCAGCCTTCAAAGATTGCACATGTCTATGGGGTTTTCCCCGGAGCTCTGGAGGACTTCACCTTCCCTAGACGCTCAGCAGGTGCTCGATAAGGCATGGGACAGTATGGTGACCGGTCCTCTGAAATATGACTTGAGATTTCATGTACTTTGGATGTCTTTTTCATTAGCAATGTCTTGGCGTTCTCTGTGAAGTTTTCCAAATCAGGAATGGTCAGGAATTTCACCATCCTACTAATTTTTCCCAGAAGGACCTGGAGTTTCCAAACTGCCTGGCCAGGTTCCACCTCCAGGACTGCTTTGCTCTTCATACTATCCAACGTCTCAGTATTTATGAACTGTGGGGTTCATAGAAGGCCAGGTAAGCTTCCACACTCCTGGGAACAGCCCTCCTACCCCAGAATGGGGCGACTGGTGGCCATAACCAGTCATGGAACCTCTCACCCTCAAGAACAGACCTATTTTCCCAGCCCTGGTATCTGTTGCCTGCCTGCCACTTCCCCAAACATACCCACTTGGCCTGTGCCTGTGGCCACGTGCCCGCCTGACTCCAAATTAGAAAGGAACCAGCCCTTGTTCCCACCTCCCAGTGTCACAATTTCACCTTGGGCTCCCTGGGAGTATGTCTGGGTTTTGTAGGGATGAGGCCTTGTCTCAGCGAGACCACCTCAGTGTCAAGTCCTGCTTTGGTTTATGGCTTGTAAGAGGCTGATAGTTTCCTAGAGGGGGAAATAATAAAGGATAATACCAATATGTTCTAGTTCTGTGAGCTTCTAGCTTATGAAATGTCTTCATACTTACTTAAGCCAGTGTTCCTCCTAGAGAAGACTGTGGCTGGGACAATGGACAGGCACCACCCAGGAAGTGGAGAGGTAGACTTGGAGGAACATGTTCTTCCCTGTCTCCTTCCTTTCACTCTGACAGACACGTCTGTGCTGACCTCTCCACTGGCATGGCTCCTCAGGTACCCAGCTGCCCGTGGTATGTATCTGCAGCCTTCCTGCCACTTCCCCAAACACACCCACTTGGCCTGTGCCTGTGGCCACATGGACTGTGGAGATGTGGCTGAGGCTCTTCAACTCTCTGCCCATGGTGTCTTTTCTGGGCCTGGTCTTTTTTTCCTGGCCCTCTTCCCTGAGGGAAACTCACTGCTGTTCAAAGGCTAGTGGCCCAGGTCCTTGTGCCCCATCTAGTCCCAACTGCCTCCTCTTCAGCTTGTCACTACTGTGGCAGGAGTGTGAATGGGTAAATCAGGGCAGTAGTGCCCCTCTTTGTGGGGGCAGCTGCTAGGGGAAGTCCAGGGAAGACAAGGATGTCAGGATACCATTATTTAGCCTGCAAAATGGCGGCTCTGCCAGGAAGGGAACCCAGGGTGATCATCCGGCCAGGCCAATTTTAGCCCTCAAAGTCCCATGTCCTGGGAAACCCTTTGGTTATGGGCAAACTGGAGTAGCTGGTCACCCTAAACCTACCACTTCACTGCCTTTCCTCTCAAATAACATTGCTACAGCTCAGTTTGGCCAGAGTCTGCTGTTTGGCTGCTTCCTTCAACTATTTCACCTCCCAGGAGACCTGCCCATCTGTCTGTCTCCTCTGAGGTTGGGCATGCAGAGGCCTGTATGCCTCTCTGGTAGGGTCTGTGAATAGAACCTTCCATGTGGAATGGGAAGGATATGCTGGAGCAAGAACAGGGTCTTGTTTAAGACTAAATGGAATGCTAAGGACACCTTTATTCTCCTCTTTGTCTCTGGTCCTCAGGGAGGGTCTGAAGAGTCTACCTTCTTCTCCTACAACAGAGGGTTCAGCCTTACCATCTCTAGTGGGTTGAATTATGTTTTCCCAAAAGTTATGTCCAAGTCCTAACCCTCAGTATCTATGACTGAGACCTTATTTGGAAATAGGATCTTTTCTTACTATATTCTAGATAATTAAGAATATCAGCATGAGGGCTGGAGGCATGGCTCAAGAGGTAGAACATTTTCCTAGCAAACACAAGGCCCTGAGTTCAAACTCTAACACCTCCAAAAAAAAAATCTCAGGATGAGATTGTCCTGGTTGTAGGGTGAGCTCTGAATCAAATGATGAATGTTCTTATAAGAGAAAGGAGAAGGGATTTAGCACAGAGACACACAGAAGACATGGCCATGTGACAAACAGAGGCAGAGAATAGAGTGCCACTGCCACAAGCCAAGGAATGCCTGGAGTCACCAGCAGCTGAGAGAGCCAAGGAAAGGTCTTCCGTCAGAGCCTTTGGAGGTTGTGGCACCACTAACCCTTAATTTCAAACTTTAGCTCCCAGAACTGTGAGAGAGTAAGCTCCTGTTGTGTTAAGCCACCTGGTTGGTGCAATTTGTTATTGCTGTCCAGGGAAATGAGCCCACAGTTGCGACTTTCCTGCCTGGCCTGGTGGAGCACACCAAAGTTCCAGTTGGCCATTTGTTTTGGGGCGAGTGCACGAGGAGAGGCGGGAAGAGGACAGGTCCCCCCTTGTATTTGGCCCTGCCCTCTCACAGGGCTGCTCAGAGTCGAGTGAGGCAATTCATTGGCGTCTTCTTTTTCCTGCAGCTCATAGTGAGCGCGTGGGGTTGTTGTGCTGTCTCATGGCACTGGGAGTTACATGGGTGAATGTGCATCTGGTTAAGCATCAGGGAAAGGAAGGTGGCCTTTTTGTTCTAGGTTGGCCTGGTACAAGAGCTAGCCCTGTAGCATGGACCAGGCTAAGCCAGTGCTGCCTGTGTACAGGTAGGTACCCAGCAGAGGATGGGGAAGTCAAATACTTACCTTATACCTGGTACCCAGGTTTAAATAAATCTTCTTCTTTTTGTGGAAGAAGCAGAAGATGATCTTATCCTGGCTCTTTATTTCTACCTGGATGTGCTGGTTGATTTTCAGGGAGATACACTTGATAGGAGGTGCGTGGACATGGATACTCAGGTTCCACCAGTTCCAGGCCTTCTGATGTTTGTCTTTGGGGAAGTAGTAGCCCAGGTTGATGCCCGAATTGGCCCTAGAAAGAGAAGACATGATAGGGAGCTGCAGTGCTGAGCTGTCCAAAAAGTCAGGACCTGGATACAGGAATCACAGGGTGGGCAGTGGTGCAAGGAACTCAGTTAATGATCTTAAATCAGATCTGGTACCGGCATGGCCCCTTCCCCCTAATGACACTTGAGGCAGTGCAGAAGTGAGGGTCTAGGCCCTCAGGGAGAGAGATGCCTCTGAGAACAAAGAGTCAATCAGGAAATTGTGTTTATAAGACCCAGAGTGGAGAAAATAATCTTAAAAACCAAGGCTTGGAGGGTACCCAAGCCCACTCTAGCATAGGGTGGTCTTACTGTTCCCTCAAGGTACCACTTCTGCTGTTTCTACCACGTACCAGTCGAAAGACAGGGAAGGAAGAAGACGGTGGGGCCTGGGAATCAAACCTCCACCATGCTGCTCCTCTGTGGCCAGGGGTTCTGGGGACTCATGACTCAAGCTTACCAGATATCCCCATTGTCATCATAGAACGTTGCGTGGCCAGAGTTGTTGATGAGGGCCCGGACTCTCACTTCTGCCCTGTCTTCCAGAACAATGTATGTAAATGTTGTAGCATCTGTGCAGAAGATGAGCATAGCCAGATTTCCTGATGGGTAAACTGGGAGATAGTTAAGGCACAAGTCGTCTCTTGGGAACCCATGGAAAAGGTGGGGCTGCAAAAGACCAAAAATCGTATGTTTTCCCTCATATGTGGACATTAGATCAAGGGCAAACACAACAAGGGGATTGGACTATGAGCACATGATAAAAGCGAGAGCACACAAGGGAGGGGTGAGGATAGGTAAGATACCTAAAAAACTAGCTAGCATTTGTTGCCCTTAACGCAGAGAAACTAAAGCAGATACCTTAAAGCAACTGAGGCCAATAGGAAAAGGGGAACAGGTACTAGAGAAAAGGTTAGATCAAAAAGAATTAACCTAGAAGGTAACACACACGCACAGGAAATCAATGTGAGTCAATGCCCTGTATAGCTATCCTTATCTCAACCAGCAAAAACCCTTGTTCCTTCCTAGTATTGCTTATACTCTCTCTACAACAAAATTAGAAATAAGGGCAAAATAGTTTCTGCTGGGTATTGAGGGGGTGGGGGGAGAGGAAGGGGGCGGAGTGGGTGGTAAGGGAGGGGGTGGGGGCAGGGGGGAGAAATGAACCAAGCCTTGTATGCATATATGAATAATAAAAGAAAAATGAAAAAAAAAAAAAGGTGGGGCTGTGCAGCGGATGTAGTCCTCGGTGAGGACCCATACCCCAGCCTTGAATCATAGACTTTTATGTGTCGATATGGGTGTCCCTTCTGCTCCAGAGGATACTGGATCTGGCCTGTCCCATCAGGAAAGAAAACATGGAAGACACGGTCATTGGGGTAGAGAATTAATTTTCCATCACCTTGATGTACCTGGGAAGAAAGGACAAACCCATGAAAAGTGTACAGGGCCAACTGTCCTGCAGAGAAGGGTGTGGTCACGAGAACACTTGGATGCTGCAGGTACCTGCCCTCTGAGGGCCCACACCCCAACTTGTTGAGAACTCCCAGGGCCTCCCTCTACTTGCCTATTACAATTAGGAGGTTGAACTGGATCTATGGGGTGTGTGTGTGTGTGTGTGTGTGTGTGGTGTGTATGTAGATTTTAAGCTATCATTTCAATCACCCCAATGCTTATTGGTTGTATTCATTTTCTAGGGTTGTAGTAACAAAGTACCACAAGCTGGGTAGGTTAGTTCTACATAAATAAAACTGGCTCACCATTGTGGAGGTGTCAGGTGCCTTGTTTTGGTTGATGGAATTCAAGCATGGGCCCTGGCTTCACTTACTGTCCAGGCAACTGGACACAAAGAACTCCATGATGGTGGAGACCCTTCACAAAAGGTTCCATATCACTGAGACCCAATGGCTTGGAGAAAAGCCATTCAAAAGAGCTACAATACTGAAAACAGTACACATAATGTGAGCAAGAAACACAAAGTTCAGTGCTTATTAAGCCACTTAACTTTGGGAAAGAACGTTTATTTCCAAAACTCATAAGCACTGTCCTGATTAATACAAGTTTTGCTTTGTGTCCTCGAGACCAGCGCTCTGTCCAATTAGCTGGTTCTATGATGTGGATCTTAAGGTTGTTTTTTGGTTTTTTTTTGTTTTGCTTTGTTTTTGCGATACTGGGGTTCAAACTCAGGCCTTTGCTCTTGCCAGGCCCACATTCTACTGCTTGAGAATTCAGCATTATGATTTGGACCTTAAATATTCCCCAAAAGCCTGGGTGTTGAAGGCTTGGTCCCCAGCTGATGGTGATATTGGGAGGTGGTGGAAACTAGGAGATGGGGCCCAGCTGGAGGAAGTAAGTCATTGCAGGTGTGCCCTTGAAGGTCTGTGGGGACCCTGGATCCTTCCTCGCCCTTTTTCTTCTTCCTGGCTGCCCTGAGGTTCATGGTTTGCTCAACCATGTACTCTCTTACCATAGGCCCAAAGCACCAGTTTATCTATTCGCTGTGTAATTGATTCTAATTTATTAGGGGAGGAACCTAGGTATTATAATATATATTTTCTTTATTCCACCCCCCCAGGCATCCAATTGCATTGTACAGATGTGTAGGGAAAAAAAAATCTCCATAAATCCCAGTAAAAACTCTTGTCAACCTGCTGATAACCCGCATACTGAGGTGGGCCTTCACATATGAGATACACTTTTCTTGTTTGTGTTCACATTGTGTATTGGTTCTGACAGCTCTCTGGTGGTGTGTGTGTCATACTTGAGCCAAAAGAAAAACAAGCAAAAAACCTGTGCAAAGTGCACTGTCATTTTTACCTTTGTCCTCTTCTGTATCCATTCTGTATCTAGTTCTAATCCCATCTTAAAAGTAGAATACTGTTTTCCCATTTCATACTCATACTCTTTGAATTTTGGTTCATCTGAGAGACGAAATGAACAACCAGCCAGCTCCTTTGACCTTTGACCTGCCAATGATCGAATAATTGCATTCAGTTCAATGATTGGATGGAACCTGATTTTGGTGGGAAAGAGAGAGGAAACAGATCTATCTGTCAAGGTGCTAAAGGGAGCTTGAGGGTTTGGGGGATCACTTTCCAAGTAAGGAAAGCAGTAAGAAGAGCAAGGCTTTGGAAGCAAGAAAGGTAGGGGCTGAAATTCCAGCTTCGTCTGTTTTCTTTATTCTTTTGTTCAACACATTTTTCTAAGGGCCTAATGTGTACCAGGCCAGTGCTAGGTGATGTTATGAGACCACCCAGTCCAGACATGGGCACCTGTGGAGTGACACAGCAATATGCCTACTAGGAGCAATGAGTGGAACCTCATCGAGCAAAAGGTGTGGCTGCTAAATGACAAAATAGGTGACAGTGAAGAGCCAGTTAAAAAAAGGGAGGAGAAGGAAAACGTACCTTATACATACCATTTTATCTTAAAACATAAATGCATATTGACATGCATTTCAAATCCTCCCTCCCTCTCTCCCTCATGCTTCCTAAGCACGTGCTCTACCACTTGAGCCATGCCCCCAGCCCTTTTGGCTTTTCAGATAGATCTGGAGCTTTCGCTTGGGCTGGTCTTGGATGGCGATCCTCCTACCTCCACATCCCAAATAGCTGGGATTACAGGTGTCTGTACCATTGTGCCTGACCCCAAAAGCTATTCTCTTACTGAGATTTTTAAAAAGTGTTCTACTTAGCTTTATAGCAATACATTTTTAATATTAACTTTGGTTCATTTTTATAACAATTGAAATTTGTGTGTGTGTGTGTGTGTGTGTGTGTGTGTGTGTGTGTGTGCTAGGGAAGCACTCTATTACTGAGTTACACCCTCAGTCCATAGCAATTGAATTTTGGAACCAAACTAGTAAGGACAACCATGGACAATCTCCACTCCCCATGCCTCTTGACAGCCGTTTAACACAGTGGAGCCGCTGTGGGCAGAGCTGCAGAGAGGAGCTGCTATCTGTGGTTTTGGCCAGATGCTCTTGGTGAGAGTGAAGAGCCCAGCTCACTCAGCATCTGGATTAGGGAGAGGTCAGTTAAGAGAGCCCAGGGTGTCCACCACTGGGGCCAACATAGGAATGTCACCAGTACTCACTGGGGGATCCGAACCAGGGTTTGAAGCTGAGGTCACTTTTGGCAGAAGGTAAGTCCCTACCATGCAAGAGGGTGTCCTAGCATTCATTGTGTGGTTGAATCTCTGAGGAATGGGTTACTGGTGACAGGTGATTCAAGAGAGGCAAGCAGGTGTAGATCGTTGGTTCATTTGCTCATCCAATAAATATTGTGACCCTGTGTGTCAAGAACTGTCATAGGTATCAGGGATGCTACAGTTCCTGCTGTCTCAGGAGAGACAGATGCTATTATATTTTTACAATGAAATGTAATATAGCAGACGGTTATGAGTGCTATGAAGAAATATTAAACAGTGTAAGAAGGATGGCAGTGTTGTATGTGTATGTGTGCGCATGAGCACGTGTAATGGCTCATAAAGGGTCCCCAGTGACGTATTTCTGAGAGGGTGACTTTCAGCAGAGCTGGGGATGAAGTGAGGGAGCCACAGGATATTGGAGCCCAGCGTGTTCTAGGTAGAAGGGGCGGTGATGACAAAGTTCCCACAGCAGGGGAGGCCTCACCCATTCCATGAATGACAACAAAGCCAGTGTTCCTGGAGAGGAAAAGTTGAGAGCCTTATAAGCCATATGAGGAGTGTGGACATTTTCTTGGAGACCAGGGAGATCCAATGAAGAGTTTTAAAAAGAATATGCTGGAAACAATGTGAAGAAAAGACAGAGACAAGAAGGTAGCCAAGGAGAATAGACTTTTAGGGAAAAGGTGAAAGTGTCTGAGCCCTAGGTTCCTTACACTGGGAAAATGCTGCCCACAACTGTAACAACCTATGGGATACCATGAAATGATGCATACAGAATGCCTGCCACCTACGAGGTCAATGTCTCTGTCCTTCTCAAAAAAGAGCTGTGTGTTTTGATTGTTCATGATACAAGTTGTGTTTCTTGGTCACACTAGATAGTTCTAAACAGAAATGCTACCTCATTTAAGGATTTCCAGTGCAAAACAAAAATGCAGAGATCCTTGTTCTAAAATTATCTAGAATTTCAGGACAGTGATATAAAGATTCAAACCAAGCTTGGGGTCCCTTCTAGGTGTGTAGCCTGTGTGACTGTGTATGAAGCCAACTTTAGCTGGGAAATTGCAGGGTTTGAGACATGGAACTGTGTGCCAGCTATAGGGAACAATGAGTTGGACACTGGAAGTAAATAAGTTGCATCTCAAAGGCCACTGGAGATTTCTTTAGGACCTTACAGAGAAGCATGGAGGGGATTCTACTTATCAATTAGGAAAATGCATTTCTACATAAAAAGTGCAAACCTCGAGGCTTCAGCTGAGTTGGGCAGGGCTGATGGTGGTGGCATTAGGGGAATTTTATTTTCTGATTAGAAGTCTTTTGGGCATGTGGCAGTAGTGTCCTGAAAACCCTTCATTCTCTGAAACGAGCAAGAAGTCATGTGTGCATGCATGTATACACCCATTCAAGAAATACTTTCTGAGTGCTTACTGTGTTGCTTTGCTAAAGTGCCAAGGAAAAAGAGAAACCTAGGCAAGTGTGACACAGTAAGTATAATAGACATTTGCTGTGTTTCTGGCTGCTGAACCCCCTCCTTGTCTTGGGGTACCCCACCATGTGTCTTGGTGGAGGGTAGGTCCCCCCTTTAGTAACTGGAAGGTAACAATTTCTCCTATTCCCTGCCCCCTCACTCTTATGAGGACGTGAGACCTAGGTTAAGATGGCCCCTGCCCCATTCTCTTCCATAGATACACTGGCCTGAACATTTTGGGGATGAGCCTTGGGTTTTACCTGAGAGGCCTTGGGCATGAGTGTGGCTTTTCTATTCAAGGGCTAGGTGATCTTGGGCAAGCTGCTTAGCTTCTCTGAGCTTTAGTTTCTTAAATTCTGTTTCACATGGTTGTGGAGATTAGTTTGAAATAGTGTATGTGATAGTGAAGTACCAAGCCCACAGCAGTTACTCCTTAAGAGTTAGGCTGGGGCTTACATTGCTATGGGGTTGGGGGGATGGGCGAGCATTTGCTGGCACCAGAACTTGATTGAGGCTGTGACCTAGCTTGGAGAGAGAGAGTACCATAATTGAATTGCTACATCTGCCATGGATATGGTTGTCATTTCTGTGTTAGTTGGATCTAGTAATATGAAAGCTATCCCATATTGTGGTTTTGAGTTTCTCAACTAAGTAGTCTGATGAAATAGCCCCTGACACAAGCCTTGAATGATTAGACTCACAAAGTTGGTATCCACCCCCCACCCACACACCATGATTGGCAAATTTTAACAGGTGGACCCCAAATGCCTTCAGTATTCTGGCAAAGGTATTCTTTCTTTTCTAAATTTTGCATTGATATTGCCTTCCTAGAGCCCCTCTCCCCACAAATCCAGGGTTAGATCCCCTCCTCTGTGACACCACAGCATCCCTGCCTACCACATGGCTTAACCAGTCTAGATGTAATTACCTACCCACTGCCTATCTTCACCCCTCTCCCACCAAGGGATAGGTCCCTAGACTGTGTCTGTCTTGCTTGCTACCATGTCCCCTGCAGCTAGGACTTCCCTAGCCCAGAAGGGACTTGAGTGAGCAGTCGTTTCTGCCTCCTTTATGGCACACAGCAGCTAGGAGTGGAAGGAGTTGGGTGGGTAGAAACTGACAGGTCAGTGCTTACCTTCATGTTTCAAAGGACACGGGATGGATTCTTTGCATCTGTCCAAAGTTTTCTTCATTCTACGAGGATAAAGATCATGAATCATCTTTAAAGACTGAATGCAATGCATGCTAGCATGTCATGATACACGTGTGGGTGGGCTACAGCCTGTGGTCGTTTATATCACAGGAAGTTGGACAGATGGCTGTGCTGACCCAGAGTCCCTTCCAGTCAGTACTTAGGAATAAAAGAGGGTACAAGGCATTGACTCAGTGCTTCCACCTGGTCTCTAACTGTTCTTCAACCTGGATACATAGGTTGACCCCAAACCCTTCAAGATGAATTCAACAAGGGTCATCTTGGGGTCAGAGACAGGCAGGGATGTTCATATGCCAGTATGGCTCTATGCGTTAAGCTCATAGAATTTGTGAATATACTAGTGAGGATTACATCTGAAATGACTTGAAAAAACTGTGTTGTCCATGAACTGGAAAGAATCATTTGAAAACCCTTGCATTAACAGGAAACTTAGAAGTAGATTCACTCAACACAGATTGTACTGAAAGCCACATGTAGGTTTCTAGACTTTCAAAATGAGCAAGTCCTTTATCCCCTCCATGTCAATTTACGAAGCAAGTGAGCCTGGCATTTTGGTGGTTTGGGTTGTTTTACTCCTAAATAGGAGTGGTCTCCAGGGTAGCTGTGTTTCCCAGTTCTGAGATCAGAGTCCCTTAGAAAGGGAAGGCGCCAGGAAGGATGAGTATCAAGGCTTAATTGCATCTGAGAGGGAGGCCTTTGACTTGACAGGTTTCAAGTTCTTAGTTCAGAGTCCTTCAAGAGAGCATTATAATTTAACCCAGAATAACTCCGGGAAGCTGACATCCTTTGCTGGAAAGGGCTACACTACTTACCTAGCAGAGAGCAATGGTTTGCTGTTTGTATCCAAGGAGCAATAGAGAAGATCTTCCTGACCCATTTGAGGCAAATGTTACTTGTTTTATTTGCAAGCTCTCTAAATGGAATTGAAGCAGTCACATAGCCTACTAGCCCAAGGAGCTGGGTAGGATGGGATTTATCCTTTGGGCTGATGCAAGATGCCAAATGCAGATAAGAGTTAAAGTCCTAAAAGGAGTCAGCCAAAGGCACCCATAGCCCTCTTGGGAAGGACTGGATGTTCCTCCTTTGGCTTTTTTCCCACCTTTGCTAAGGCGTGGAATCTCCACCAGTTCACTTCTCAGTAGCAGAGGCTGTGGAGTGCAGAGTTCAGTGCACAGCAAGTACTGGGGAAGTAGTTGTTGAGTGTGACCTGGCTGGAGGGATCCTCTGTGTGAGCTTACATGGGAAGAAGAGGGAGGAAAGGGCAGCTAGGGAGTGGACGGCTTCCGCAAATGTTGTTTGGTGTTTGTTTTTCTTAAGCTCTTGTGTTTTGCTTTTCTCTTTCCTGGAGAAGCTCAGTGGAGATCCATTGCCCATGACCACTGAGCACACATCGAAAGTTGCTGGCAGGCCATTTGATCTTTTTCTGACTTGATGAATGCCCCAACTTACCACAGTGATTACACAGGGCACCCTGTTCCCATAGCCTGTGCTACTGCCACTGCTGGAGAGTCTGCCACAGACCCTTGGGGCCCTTCCACCAGATTTAGCCCGTGGATAAGGGGAAGTCTGGAATTCTACACCAAGAGCATGTCTTATACTACAGGCAGGATGTCCTGAAACATTTGTGACATGATGCCAGCTAGAAAGACCTGGTGCCAGAAACAGATTTGTAATAATTTGTCTGTGACCCTCAGGTCAGTGAAGTGCATGGCTTTTTCTCCTTTTGGAAGTGTAGTAAAGCATTAGTCTGTCTGCGAGGAAACCAGGAAGTCTGTAGGCAGATGTCCAAGATCTTTATGCTCTCTTGCCTCTCTTTTAAAGGGGGTCTGAGCCTTGTTCCCTAGACTTTTCTATAAGTTCATGTTCCTTCAAGACTTTTCTAGTCCTGGATCTCCAACCTCTGCCACTGTCTGCCTTTGCTCCCATCCTGGGTCTCCCATGCTCATGATATCCTTGCTCTTGGTTTTGATGTTGGTCTGCAGATGGATCATTCTGTCCATTTGATCCCTGGTTCTCATCCTTGCCCTTGAGCTTGGCCTTAGCCTGCTCCTTGGCTCAGGGGACCATGTGCCTGGTTCTGCTTTTTCCCTGTTGCTACCTCCGGCCTTCCTGAACCTACTGATCACCAGCAAAATTACTCTAGTTACTCACAGGCCTCCTGGCTTCCTTCTGTTTTCACCTTCCAGCAGCCGACTCAGGGAATTGCCAAAATCATCTTCCAATTCACTTTGAGCAGTCATATCACTGATTATTGTCCTAAACACTGTCGTGTAGTTATTGTTTAGAAACTATAAAAGAATCACAAAATAAAATATTCAGAAAATGGGAATTAATGATTTATTAATCACTTTTCTGACTTCCAAAAGTGCATGATGACATTTCAATGTGTTATTAAAAAAACAAAAACAATGGGAGTATAGGGTGGCTAGCATGTATTCTTTTAAAAAAATGTTTTCTGTTATTGGCATACCCTCTTCTTGCCCCTCAATTCCTCCAAGAATTGTTTTTTAGTATCAGTATGCCAAGAAATCTTTTGAGAATATAAAATCATCTTTTTTCTGATTGTGGAGATATCTATAGAATAAAAAATACTACGATGTTTTAAGAGCATAGCAGACTTTCTGTGTCCCAAAAATGGCCGAGCTCCCAGTGGTGGCTAGTTTATTCAATGTCAAGGCCAAGTCATGGGAAAAGCAGTGTAGCACCTAGTACATCATTGTATCAGAGTTCTGCATTTGAAGATCTTTCCCAAGTCATGACATTACAAGCTACCTTTGTATTTTGTAAATGTGATTTCTACCCTTGGACGTGCCTGCATATAATAACTGACCCAGATGTGGGGCTTCACAAGAGTTTCTTTTTTGGATCCCTTTTGATAGAAGGTGAAGGTTGGCTTCCTAGAGAGGAGAGCCAGAGATTGGTCATGCTGCCTACAGGTTGAGGTTGGTATGGTTGTTATACAGTGTGCTGTAACGGATGGCATGCCATTAACTCTTCAGCCTCCCACAGTACATGAAAGACCAAATCATCAAAGTTGCATGTGACCTGGGACAAGTACTAGAATAAGACTTGTGGTTGGTGGCATTTCTAGGGTGTGGGAGAACACACAGCCCCCTCCCAATTGCTCTAATCAGTGCTTCAGGACAGTGCTACAGCCCTTGAGGTTGGATTTCCTGCCTGTAAATTCTTCACTGTCGACAATCCTTCCCCAGGGATGTGATGACTATCTGTTTGCCCTGGTCAGTGATCTGTCACCATCCCTTGCATTCTATGTTCTGTTCACTAGAAAAGGCAGTGTCCATCATAGTCCATCAGACAGTAGACTCAACTTGGGGGGTTCACTTGAGGTTCTTATACCATGTAGACTGTGCTGCTCCACTCTATTTAGCAAGCATATATGACATTTTATGGGATTTGTCCCATTTGCTTGCCCAGTCTATAAAGTAGAATTATTCTCATTGTCATGACAGTCTTATTACGCAACTCGTAATGGATTTCCCATGCTTAGAGGCTTCTCCTGGGTGAATCTCTGGTTATTATAACCACATGGTTCTGCACACAAAGGCTTGTGATGCATAAGTGTGTCATAGAAATAAAAGTGAATGTATGATAGTGAGCTAAAAATAACAAATTAATTAAGTTGTCAGAATATCTAAGTGTAGTTTGTTAACTTCCTTCCAAACAGGAGGGCTCTATGACTATCATCAAAAAATAAATACTGGTGAGGATGGGTGGCAGAAGAACTCATTCACTGTTGGTGGGAATTTAAATTTGTCTATCCACTATGGAAATCAGTATGGAGATTCCTCAAAAAATTAAAAATAGAACTCCCATATGATCTTTCCATACCACTTCTGGATATATAGCAAAAGAATAAAAATTATCTTACTATAGCAGTACCTCCACCATGTTTATTGCAGCATTATTCATAATAGCCAAGCTATGCAATGAGTCTAGGTGCCAATCAATGAATGAATGGATACAGAAATGTGGTAGATATCACAACGGAGTTTTACTCAGTCATTAAGACAAATGAAATTACATCATTTACTGGAAAATGGATGAAACTGGAGATCATCATGTTAAGTGACACAAGCCAGTCCTACAAAGACAAGTATCACGTATTTTATCTCATTTGCAGAAGCTAGGGAAAACAAAACAAAACAGTCACAAAAGTAAAAGGGGCTCCTTGAGGGGTGTAAGGGGGAGGGAGCAAACAAAGAATAATAGAGGGGGTGATATGATCAAAGTACATTAGATGCATGCATGGAAATTTCATGCTAAAACCCCTTACTGTGTATAATTTTTTAAAATATGAGGGCTCTAGCCTCCTCTCCTGAGTTGTACCCCAGTTGTTTCTGGTATTCCCTTAAAAGGTGCTTAAGAAGTTCCCACAAGCAAGCCTGGTAGCTGCTGGTACCACGTGACATTCACTCCTGTTCCCTCTACTGCTTTGGTTCTCCTTGTCCACATCTGTTGTTTACCTTATTTGGAGAAGTACTACTTTGCCAAACCATGTTACTATCTGCTAAGCTTTGGAAGTTAAATGTCCCCCAAAGGCTCATTCATGTGTTAAGGTCTTGGTCCAAGAGTAGTGCTACAGGAGGTGGTAGAACCTTTAAGAGCCAGAGCTTAGTGGAAGGGTCTTAGGTCATTAGAGGCATGCCCCTCCAGGCGATTGTGGGACCCTGGTCTCTTTCTTTTTCTCTTCTACTTCCTGGCTGGAGATGTGACAGCTTACTCTGACATGTACTCTGGCCACTCTTGCCAGAGGCCCAAACCAATGGTGCTGTCGATCTTGGACAAAAAAATAAATGTCTCTTTACTTCATAAATAGCCTGTTATAGAGATGCAAAGCTGGCTAATCTTCTGCCCATCATGAGAATCCTGGTGTCTGTGTCTGGATGCTGCCTCAGTATCCTGAGGAACAGGGTGGCACAGAAATCAGAAGGAACAGATTTGTTCAGGGATGTGCCATGCTTTGTCAGGTGGACTGCAGGGCAGTACTCCTTGTGTTAAGTTTCACAACACAAGTTTTCTTGAGTGACTGGCCTTGGTACCCTAACCATATGGGCTCAATTGCCACCTATGGTGTTTAGATAAGAAACAAGACTTGGTACCATCTTCTCTCACTGCCTTTTTTTTTTTTTCTGGGTTCCCCCTCACTCACCAAAAATCCTTCTCACCAACTGAACACCAAAAACTCTTAGGCTTATGTAGGTAAACCAATTAACTCTTTTATATGTTTTGGGGCAGGAGATATTGACTACCTGCAATAGTAAGAAAAGAATGCCCTATTGCCTTCTGCATTTGCAAGGCTTCAACTATATGCTAAGGATTCTGTTGTGGGTTGAATTATTTTCCCCTCCCCAAATCCTATGTTGAAGTTCTGATTCCTAGTACCTTAGATTGTGACCTTGTCTGGAGATAGGATCTTTACAGGTATTCAAGTTAAAATGAGGTCATTAGAGTAGGCCCTCCTCCAATATGACCAATGTCCTTAAAAAGGGGGCTGAGGATTTGGACAGAGAGACTCACATAGAAGGAAGCAACACAGGGAGAAGATGCAATCGGTAAGCCAAGGAGAGAGGCTGGAACCAGATTCTTTCTTCACAGCTCTCAGAAGGAACCAAGCCCTGCAGATGCCTTGATTTTGGACTTCTAACCTCCAGAACACCTCTGGTATTGAAGTCACTTAGTTCTTGGCATTTTGTTACAGTGGCCGTAGTAAACTAATACAGATTTCACACTAAGATTGTTAGCCAAGAACTTTCTCTATGATCTACGTGGGCTATTCCTGATTTTCAGCTGGAATTCATCTGGATATCTTACAGATACTTAAGACTCAGAATGTTCTAAATAGAACTTTTTACCTTATCTTAAAATGTGCCTTTCTTCTCCTCTTCAGCTCCCTAGTCTTCTAAGTGTTAATTATGTCCTATATTGTGGCAGGTGTATTGAGCATGGCCCTAGCACCCAAACTTTATCATTTGTTCATGGGTACTGTATTACTCTTCTCCCTGCCCTCAGTCTCCACTCCAACTCATCATCCATGAAGCCACCAGAGTGACCCTTCAAAATGCTAAATTGATCCTGTCATTCGTGAAAGGACTCAGCCAATATTGTTGAGGACTTTGGTTGGATGCCTATGCCATATTGTTTTCTCCCAATACATTCCAGATTATATATATTTTTAAAAGATCCCTTATAGAGCTAGAAAAGAACACAAATGAATTATAAAGTATTTTGAGAGTGAGAGGGCCTTTAGTAAACTTACAACAATACTTGGTAGTCATAAGAGAAAAACACTGATCGATGAGATTACCTAAAAATGAAAAACAACCATGGTATTTTCATAGAAAATACCATGAAGAAATTTGGAATATAAAATACAAACTGCAAAAAAATTGCAACATAGATGTCAGAAAAGGGACTAAGTTCTTTCATACATAAAAAGTTCTTATAAATCAGAAGCAAAAAGAAATAAGCAACATAATAGCAGAGTGGCCAAAAAACACAAGCTGGTTATTCAGAGAAACACATGAAACTGGCTAAGGTGAAAAAGGCCCTACACCTTTCATAATGAAGCCTGAGATGCAAAAAGCCACAAGGAGACATTATTGTTTTTCACCCAAATTATGACCCTTGGTAGGTGACCTCTTAGGGAAAGGAAAATGGCAGTACCTTTTAGGAAGAAATCTGTCAATACCTTTTGAGTTAAGGATGCAGATACATTTGGGTTCACCATTCAGTTGGTAGGAATTTATTCTTCAGATGTACTTTCACATGTAATAATACATGTACAATTAATTACTCTCTCCTTTCCCCTTCCCCCTCTGTATATACTGAAAACAACATCCATTGATATTAAAATTATGCTATAAAGATATAATGGAATACCATAGAGTTCCAAAATATACTATTAAGGGAAAATCAAGCTATATAGAATGTATATGTGATTCCAATTATGGATATGCATGTTTTTAAAGCACGTATATTTGCATATGCATTGAAATTTCTAGAAGACTACCTAAAGAGTGAGCATAGTAGCTATTTCTGGGAAGCAAGATAGTAGAAACTTGAAACATTTTATAGACCTTTTGCCAATTCAATATTGAAAGATCATGTGCATATGGTAGCTTCAGAATTCAAAAGCTAGGTTAAATATCTAAGCAAAAAATTAAAAAAAAATCTGGTGTGTCACACCCCTCCCTGAAATCCTTTAGTGATAAAGCTCTGGACTGGGACTTGTGGTGGGAGCTCCCTGCTCACATACCTTGGAAGGCTGTCAAGTGTGTGTGTGTGTGTGTGTGTGTGTGTGTGTGTGTGTGACCTGTGAGTGCCACCTGCTCCAATATTTGGAGGCAGGGCATCTTAGTCTCACATCTTTATCCAACTTACCTTTTCATTGTAATGCTGTCCTTCCTGCTCCTCAACAGACTCATTTGTTAAGACATTCCAGAAGCTCCCTTGAGTAAGAGACTCCAAGGCTTTCAGTTTTGGAAGACAAATTGAAGGGAAGGGCATTTTGAAGAAAAAACAAAAAAGAAAAAGAAAGAAGTTTTTGACATTACCCCTTATCCTCTTAAAAAAATGCAAATGTCACCAATGAGACTAAATAAATTTATCAAATTACCTAAAATTCAGTTTGAGGGTACTAATAAAACAGGAATAAAAGGTTCAGTTTCAGCTGTGATTCAAGAAGCAAGGGTGTGCTCCTGGTGGCTGGTGAATTCATTCTGACAAAGCGATGTTGGAGTGAACTTTAAGTGAAGTAAGGGAATAAGCAGGAAGAGATCTGGGGAACAGCATTCCCAGCAGGGGTGTAGGAGAGATAACGGTCTGAGGTCAGAGAAGAGAGGCATATTAGACATGGTGACAAACTGTAAGGGAAGAGTATGCAGGTGAGGTAAAAGAGGAAATGGAGGGTGAGGGGCCAGCTCTTGGAGGACCTTGTAGGCTATAGGAAGGACTTTAGATTTTATTCTAAAGGGAGATTTGTTCTCCTTAATTGTGGCTTTTCTCTCAGAAATCCTAAGAAATAAAGGCTATAATCCCTACTTGGAAGGTAGAGAAAGGAAGATTGAGGTTTAAGGCCAGCCTGGGCAAAAAGTTAGCCGGACTCTATCTCAAAAAACAAGCTGGATGTGGTGGCACACACCTGTGGTTCCAGCTTACTTGGAGGGTAGAGATAGGAGGATCATGATCTGAGGTCAGCTCGGGCAAAAGCGTAAGACCCTATCTGAAAAATAATTAAAGCAGAAAAAACTGGGGGTATGGCTCAAGTGGTACAGTGTGAGGTCCTGAGTTTAACTGCAAGTACCACAAGGGAGGGTGGGGATCCCAAGAACTTTCTTCCCCAGTTTTGCCAGAAATTGGCAATGTCTACAATTGCCTATTGCTAGTCAGTACAAGAAAGGACTCCCCAACCAGTGAGCTAAATAAAGTCTACCATAAATATTGAATGCTCTCACTCACCAGCAACAGGCTGGTGACTCTCAGGACAGAGAAAGGGCTTAAGGTCTCCAGGGCGACAGGGGGCAAACTGAGTTGTGGAATTGATAATTCGACTTGGGCCTCTCTTTCCCACGCCTGGGAAGGTGCAGCTCTTGAGGGGAGAGTTTGGAGGAAGTGGCTCTCACAAGATAATTGGGCCTCAGGGAAATGACGGTGACCTGTTGCCCAGCTTCAGAGTTACATAAACTCCTACAAGCTGGGCCACCTGCAGGGCCTGGAGACCTGCCAGGCTGGCAAGGGCTGACTTATTTCATCTGATTCTGCGTCCTCATTATGCCTTGGGGGGCTGGAAGGGAATATTCTCTATGATCTCACTAGTGTTAAAATTGGTGCTCTTTTCCAGTTTGGCTTCAGTGATCAGAGCTCCGACCCTCCTTGGGTTTCTGACAGGACAGAGAACTCCACTGAGTGAAATGGCCTTCACCCACGCAAGGCCCAGGTCCCTTCTGTCTGCAAATCTCCTACTTCAGACTTGGTTTGCTCCTGACAGAAACTTGCAGCTTCTGGGAATTCCCTGGAGGATTCTTTCCCATCTCTTCCCACAAGGGTATACACCCCACCACCACTGGGGTACTCCACACAGCAGAAGCCATAACACATTCAGTATTGCAAATGACCAGGTCTCAAGGGTAGGGGGTTCTTGCTAAACTGACTTCTTGCTAAAACTGGATTTTACAAGGAGGTGCCCAGATGGGCCTAAGAGAATGTTAGGAGCCTCACTAAAGTTTGGCCAAGCAAAGAATCTTTGTCACTGTAACAAATATATGATTCTACAGGGCAAATATATGACGCAAACATTTATCCTAAATTCAGGAAATGCAGTTCTATCAAGGAAAACCTTGGAGGAGAGGCACTTAAATGAGGAAGAATTAAAAATATATTCCTAATCAGTCCAGGGAACTGATAAGGTCCACTTAGGGTAGGCATTGACTGACAGCACCAGTTCTCTGGGCATCCTAAAGATGACTCTAGTCCCCATTGCACAGATGAGAGGCCAGGGTCCAATAGGAATAGGTGACATGTAGAAAGTGGCCCAGGTTTTGTAGGACAGGGGCCACCTCTCCCATCCCAAGCCTCCCATCTTTCATGGGACATTTCAGGAGGAGATGGTCTTAGTATCTTTCAGAAGTAGAGGTGGAGAGAATCCTCAGAGGAGCAGCTAACTAGAAGAAAGCTTTTCCTTCTCATTCAGGTATAGGTGTTCTTCTCTTTCTATACACCTGGGCGATGCCCAAGGATGTTAATAAGCTTAATGGTTATGCTGACTTGAGCACTGTTGAGCACTGCCTTCAGGAATGCCAAGTTCACCCTTGAAACCTGATCATTCTTAATGTCTGAGCTGATCTCATCTCCACCCCACAGATGATGTCTGGTCATTGCTTGTAAACTTTCGAGTAGCACCTCTCCAGACCCCACACAGAAATGTAATAAGGTTAGTAGTATGCTTAAATCACAGAGGGGTGGGTGTGACGCATAGTTCAGATTTTAAATAGTTTGTTGGATAATCCATGGGGTGGTGTGGGGGGTAGAATCAGGTGTGAGTGTACTTAAGACCTGAATCCTAAGATGTCAACTCCCAGGCTCAAGAGTAACAGATGGTAGTTCCTAAATTGTTTTCTGATGACAATGACTCTGGCTCATTGCAGGGCTTTTGTTTTGTGAAGAGGTGCTATGAAAGTTGGGATTCTGTCACTATAAAGAGCCTCTTCTGTTCCTCCCTCTCATAGGCTTCAACTAACCATCTTTAATAAACACGTCAGAAATCTTTAAGGGAACCATTTATAGGAGCTCCAAGTTGTTTTCTGCCAAGGTGCCATTGGCTGAGCCTGTGGGGTGGGGATGTAGCCAGACCTCAAGAACCCTGCCTCAGCCTGGACTCTCTTTAAATGCGGAGTCCCTGTACCAGGGCTTTAGATATAGATTTCTGGCCCTGCCCCAGGTCATTCTGTGTCTCTCTGGAGACTGTCTAGTTCTGGTATTATGGTCCTTCTTCAGGAAGTTCTGAGGCTACATGCTCAGGTCCTCTCCAGAACTTGGGGCAGCTGGAGCAGCAGGGATCCATCATCTGGGGCAGGGATCTTTGGATGGATTATGTTAGACTCTTATCTACCTCTGTGTTTGTTTCTTGCTGTTTTAGTGGCTGTATGCACTGAAAAAGAACAGGAAAAATTATTACTAGTTTGTATGGTATGGTGAGCTAGCCCAGATCTTTTAATCACTGAAGGAATGGATTTAAAAATCACCTCCTAAACAGCAAGGGGGGGACACAGGGTAGAGATCACATATTTGGGGAGCGTGTATCCTTGATCTTCAGCATATGGAGCCTGCAGCATATTCTCATTGAGTATCTATTCCCCCACCCTTTGTTCTATTTTATCTTGTCCACTAGAGTTCAAGTTCTGAGAGGCTTTTGTTTAGCTTTATATCTTGCCCAGTATATAGTGGGTGCACCATAATGTCATTAGATGAACTGTGGATGGATAACTCATTACCTCCCAGCCTAACTCCTGTCATGAGCATTGCTTTCTTCCCTTTCACAATTTGCTCTGATCCAGTGTCTTACCTGAGCCTTGAGTCTGAACACACTACGTTCCATGGCTAATGCTTTTGCCTTGACTGAGATGACCCTGGTCTAGCGTGGTCAAAGTAGGGGGGTTCTCCTTGATTAGGACCAGCCTAATTCTATGCTTCTGATATTTTTGTTGATGCAGTGGTAACTTCTACAGGTCATTTAAAATCAGCATAAATTATACCTTCCGAAGACATCTTGGGGGATGTCGAGGAGATTTCTTCATCTAGTCTTAATTTTGATCTTTTGGCTGTTCTTATAGAAAGAAGAGGGTGGCCATTATGATTTTAAATGTATGCTTTCTAAAGGTTTCACATGGGACACTTGGAGTCTGAGGTTCTTTCTTGGAATCCAAGGTTGATCAAGGGAGGGGAGGAACAGATGCTGAAGGGCATGCTGGCATGTATTGAGTGTCCCCTCTGTGACTTTGGTAACTTACTCTAGGACTGCAATAAATCAGTGGTCACCCTCTCTGGCTTTTCCTTCTGGTCACCATAGGGCTAATTTGTGTCCCCAGGATATCCTGGGTGGCTGGGACTAAGGGAGGCCTTAGAGATACTACTCTTGCCATAAGAAACAGAGTCAGGTGGCTCCAAGGCTGGGTGGACACACAGTGGGTTGTCCTTGTCACAGCAGCAAGACGGTATCTCTGGTGTTCTCTTGCCAAGAGCTCCCTGAGAATGCAGGGAAGAAACAAGGCTTGAGCAGCACACATCTGCAAGTACTCCTCAACATGTGCACACATGCCCCGCGCCCCCCGAAGCACACACACTATTCCATTCTTAATGGCAGAAGAGAAGAAGGCCCATGATGCACAGCAAAAGTGAACTGCTGCATCTGCTAAAGAGAGCATCAGCATTTGTGTCTGTCCTGTGTGCTGGCATGAGAGGCCCCAAACACATGTGCCATCAGTACCTACTGGGTCTTCAGCATAGGATCCAACACCTCCACAGGCAAGGGATATTCTTTTTTTTTTTAATTTTTATTTTATTCATATGTGCATACAATGTTTGGGTCATTTCTCCGCCTTCCCCTCGCCCCCTGTCTTGCCCTTCTCCCACCCCCCGCTCCCTCCCTCATCCCCCGCTTACCCCTCTCTACCCGGCAGAAACTATTTTGCCCTTATCTCTAATTGTGTTGAAGAGAGAGTATAAGCAATAATAGGAAGGACCAAGGGTTTTTGCTGGTTGAGATAAGGATAGCTATACAGGGCATTGACTCACATTGATTTCCTGTGCGTGTGTGTTACCTTCTAGGTTAATTCTTTTTGATCTAACCTTTTCTCTAGTTCCTGGTCTCCTTCTCCTATTGGCCTCAGTTGCTTTAAGGTATCTGCTTTAGTTTCTCTGCGTTGAGGGCAACAAATGCTAGCTAGTTTTTTAGGTGTCTTACCTATCCTCACCC